TACAAACCTAGCGGCCCTCCTTTGTACTTGTTCTAGTTGATTTATGTCCTCAGTGGTATGAGGGTCCCATGCCGCACTTGCATATTCAAGAGTTGGTCTGACCAGAGAGATATAGGCTGCATTTCTTACTTTTTTACTGCATTCTCTTAGGTTACGTCTAAGGAATCTGATGGATTTGGATGCTTTTTTGGCAGTGACGTCAACATGATGTTTCCATCGAAGTCCTCGCTGAATTTTACTCCTAGATATTTGCTGGTTTGTACAGTTTCGAGAGTGTGGCCATATAATTTGTAGTTTTTTGTCTCTTTTTTTAATTTAATGCTGGTGCTAGTGCTAATGCGAATGACGGTGCATTTTTCCGGATGGAATTTCATCTGCCATTTGGTTTCCCAGACTCTAGTGCTGAAAGGTCCTTTTGTAATTTGGCTTCGTCCTGGGAATTCTTGCTGTGATAGAAAAGAAGGCAGTCTTCAGCGAATTGTTTGACAGTCGAATGTTGAACTGATTTTGGTAAGTCGTTTATGATTACTAGGAACAGTAAGGGGCCTAACACAGTGCCTTGTGGAACCCCTGATAGTACATCTCCTAATGATGACTTACAGCCCTCAACTACCACTTGTTGTTTTTGGTTTTCTAAGAAGGATTTTATTCATTTTAGGTTTTCGTCTCTTATGCCATAGTGGTTCAGTTTGTTAAGTAATCTGCAGTGTGGGACTTTGTCAAATGCCTTTGCAAAATCGATTACGATTACGTCCACTTGATCTTTCCTTGATTTCAGTTGTTTGGCAATTCCTTCGATTGTTGATATCAGTTGTGTCTCACAAGATTTACGAGCTCTAAATACATGCTGATTGTCTGTCAAGATGTTATGTTGTTCCAGAAATGTGATTAACATTAACTTACAAGTCGAGTAAATTCTTCAAACCCTTCAAAATGGAGCATTACATGGAGAAAAATATTAGACGACAATAACATTATATTCAATATCTATAGAAACAAAGCTGACCTGATATCAATTCTGTTTAATCGCATTCACAGAAGACATGTGCCGCGTGTGACAAATTTTGCGGAAACGATTATTCCTCGATTTTCATCCCAGAACTTCCGTATGCATTTTAGGGTTGCACGCACACCGTTTGAAATTATTCTGTAAATAATTGCACCACATTTAACATCAGACTTTGCTTGTGACAGGGAATAAATTCCAAAAGAAAAACAATTACTAGTACTACTGTTTATATGATATATCTCGAATCAGGAGTCAATGCGAGACGCATCAAATTTATTTGGGATACCGATATTTTGCCGGCGCCGTTATTTTTAAATGGTACTGCCGAATAGTATTAAAATTCCCTCTTCAAAATAACAAATCCACGATAATGCCGTCGCAAGTAAAGCCGGCTTTAACAAGGTATTTTAATACGAGCCGGCAAAATAACATATTTTCTTTATCAAATCGTACCAAATCGATGAAAACATTTTCATTTTCTATTGAATCAATAACTGAGCTTCTTTTTTTATATTTTGGTTTTATCAAGTTGATATTTTTGCCATTTATTACCCAGTGTAAGATGCAAGTAGCTTAAATTTGAACATAATTTTTCTTCAGTGTGTACTTACTTCACTTGTTTTTCCATCATGTTTTTACTCTACTCGACTAAACCTGCCCACGAGGTAGGTAGAACTCGACTCGGGTCAAAAGGTTAAATTGATGACGTTTAAGAGGAAAACCACCCGTTCGATTTAAACTCTACTTACACAAGTAACCCGAGTTAATCAAATCGAAGTCGACCGAGATGGAGGTACGGAATCAGCCGAGTTGTGACGAACGACGGAGGACCCAACAAGTGACAGATGTATGTAAGTTTGTTTTTTTTTTTTGCGAAGAGTTATTTTTGGTTATGTACTTTAAAAAAATATAGTTTTATTTTAGGTTGCTTTCCAACTGGTAAATCTTTTGGATGATGGTCGCACGGTCTTGAAACAAGCTGGACGAGTGGCCAAGGAATATGAAGGAAAAGGAATATATAACGCGCTTGATTCATTTACACAACAAAAGTTTAATTTATTGGGTAGACAAAGGAATTTCTCATTTGACGCACACAACCAAACTTTGTTGAAACGACTATATTCCAGAAAAATTGAAACAGTTTTTTCAAGAGTAAGAAACTATAATTCTTTAACAATTAAGCATACTTATATATCCTTTCTCAAGAAAAGTGTTGTCTCCATATGTCACCCCGACTATCGACCATCTATTGCACATTTTAACAACGTTAATTCTTATTTCATAATTAGTTTGGAGATTTGGGAAATGCTTTCAGATTCGCTGTAGGTTATATGATAAAGCGGTAATGATCTACATGTATAATAAAAGATAAAGCCGTTCCCTTCAGCTATTTTCTTATAATCTATAAAATTTACACACATTACCTACTTAGTAAGTTACTATTAATCCATTACCTACTTAGTAAGTTACTATTAATCCATTACCTACTTAGTAAGTTACTATTAATCCATTACCTACTTAGTAAGTTACTATTAATCCATTACCTACTTAGTAAGTTACTATTAATCCATTACCTACTTAGTAAGTTACTATTAATCCATTACCTACTTAGTAAGTTACTATTAATCGAGAAACAGGAAGCATAGTTACTATGAAATCTAACTTATTTTGAAAAGAAATCGAGGGAAAAATCAGGAGAAATAATGACCCCAATGAAAAATAAAAAAGGGGGGGGGGGGCAGGGGGTGGTGATAGTACGATCTGCATGTAGAAACCGGGTGTGATGAGACGTGAAGTAGAAGATATAGAAGACATATGTATATCTTGGTCTAAATCAACAATATTCTTATGTTATATGACTGAACGTTTATACCTTTATAAATTATAGGATGTAACAGCGTATCATTTACAGTCTCACAGAAAAATACTAAAAAACAACACCACTGGACCAAACAACAACAACACCACTATATTTCCTGTCCATCTTAAGGAAGTCTTCAAATCAGAGATAATAAGTAGCGAACTTTTCCCGGAAGGTAGAATGTTATGTTTCTATGTACCGTATAAATTAAAAGATTCCAACATACCACTGATATATTCTCAAGGTACGAATGTTCTGGGATCATTTACTGAAGACTCCCTGTTAGTCACAGCAGGTACAAGCTTCCAATGTAGTAAAGGACATATATTTGTACTTGACGTGTACGGAACTTTAAACAATACATTTGTAATGCACCTACTGCAACATTTCCGACATGTGGACCTACGATTTGTCAATAAGCAAATGGAAATCAACATACATTGTATGGATTCTGGAAACCAGTATATAACTGATGCTATGAGCCAACTTGATATTCAAAAAGACGAAAGTTTCACAGATGTACATCATATAGCTACCACGGAAATGAATTAAAAATACTTTATTCAGTGATATTGACGAATCTATATAAAGCATGATATAATAAGTTAGGGACGAAAATGCATGTACTGATCTATACGATAATTTAGTGAAGAGAGTTATGAATGAGACAACAACCAATAAAAAGCGAAAAGAGATTTACATTCATCATAACAGTCTTTTTACAAAGTTGAAATTAACTCTTTTGGTAGTTGTGTAACCATCTGAAAAAACAAGAATTTATTATTATTGTTATTGTTATTATTATTATTATTATTATTATTATTATTATTATTTATTATGGAAATAAATTGTAAAGTATTGCACATTAAGAAAGTACGTAGATAGAATGTTATTTTGTATATGCTATGAAGTTAAAAAATAACTGTATTCCTAATAAAAGCCTTTTTTTGTTTATATATATATATATATATATATATATATTTTATCTGTTGGTTTTGATAAAAAAAAGTCGGATGTATCTGACAAGTATGTTGTTAGGTAAACATTGAAACTTACCTGAGATTCCACATTTCCCTGTTAGAAGAACTTGTTTTATCAATATGTCTTAGGATCCTTTTTGGTTTTACCGATATTTCAACGAAACACTTTCAGCTGATGTGCTGGTCAGTGCCAATCGCCATTGGTCAACTTTATCGGAATGGTATATCATCAGATTTAATATATTAATTTTTACATAATTCATAGCCTGAAATGTTATACAAAATTTATCATTAAAATCATGGCGATACAAAAGATCTGACTACAGATGGAAGATACTCTTAACTTATTTACCGACACTCACCCAGCACTACTACTGTCCTGTTATATCCTTATGGTTTTTATGCAAAGATTTTCATCATGAGAAAATGAAAGGATATGGAGTAAATGTACATGGGACAAAATCGCACACAATACATAGAAAACATAGAAAATTATCAATGAACAGGGCTTTTATTCCTGGTCTTCATCTTGACAGTTGATGTAGGGTCTTCATACTTATTATTGAATGTGACCAAAATGTCAAACTGTAATTCAATATTGATGCATACAAAACAGGATATGGCAACCTTCCTTGTCATCTAACACCCCCCTTCTGCTTTCCTAACCTTCCATGTCATCTAACACCCCCCTTCTGCTTTCCTAACCTTCCATGTCATCTAACACCCCCCTTCTGCTTTCCTAACCTTCCATGTCATCTAACACCCCCTTTCTGCTTTCCTTTTTAAAGTATTTTACAATACACAAAACCTTCTCTTGGATAGATGTGTTTACATATTTTGTTTGAATACAACAGTATTGCAAGTAAAAACTTATTCTTTAACAAGAAGTGCATGATGGAGGATCTCGTCAATTCATTATAAGAAAAGAGCACGGCATCAACATCATTACCTACAACTTTCAGTCAATTGTTTCTTAGTTTGAAGTGGTGCCACAGATAATCCGATTTGATTCAAGAAAGGTTTATTTATCATATATATTTTCATTAGATAATCGATTAAATCATACAATAAAAACGATTGTCAATAGAGAAAATATAATACTCTGGTGAATTGGACAGCTGTTGCACTTTATATATATAACCACTATTGACAATATATAGATGACGTGATATTGTTCATTCATCACTGGAAACAGAAATATGAACATCGTTGGTTTACTGGGATTTTTTCTGCTTTTTGAGTCATTACTTTGTAGTTCTGACAACAAAATATTCAAAGGCATCGTAACTGTAAGTACTGACTAACACTTGAGCTGCGTCGGATAAAAATCGAGCTTATGCAAGTGCACGTATACATACATGTACATGTGTAAGATTTTGTTTGATTTTGGAACGTTCAAATACAAAATAAAAGATGAATTATGGTCTGTTTTGTATGGTTTTTATAACAACTAAATTTTTTGTATGGTTCTTATAACAACTCAATTTTCAAAGAGTTACAGACTCTCTGCAGAGATTTTTTCAACCCGAAATAGGTTAACAGGTGTATTGATATTCATTTGCAAGGTCGATTTCTATCCGACGCAGCACAGTCTTGTTGAATTAAAAAAAAAAAAAAAAAAAAAAAAAAAACTCGACAAGCGCGGCTTAATAGGCGAGTGACAGTTTTCAAAAAGACGCTTAGTTAACGACTTTAATGCACCCACCTAACATACAGCTATATAATATATCATTCGAAAGCTTATTAACCGTACTTTCTGTTTTGCCCGGTCGTCAATAATTCGTACGGTGCAATTTTTGTTAAATCAAGGTCAAGGGTCAAAATTGAAAATTCCTAAATTTTGCTAGAATTGAACAAAATGTCCTTTTCTGGTACTTGTTTGATATTTTTTTTCTAAAAATTATCTGAACCTCATAAAACAAAATATATTAATTCCAAATCAAAAGAAAACTAAAATGTTGGTTGCGCAATATTTACAGAAAATTGCATTTCTTGAAAAAAACTTCAAAAATGATAAAATTGCAATAACATCTAAATGTTTCCTGATGTTTGAATATTTATATGTCAAAAATAGAATAGATTTATCGTTTATAGGCCAAGGGAATTTTTTCATCATTTTAAACTGCAATTAATATAATATAGGTCAGGATGCAGCCTTCTAATGAAGCTTTTGCAGTTGCCATAAAAACCACCATCTGAAATAGGAATACTTTTGCTTTTTTATGGCTAGATAATATTGTCAATATCGGCAGAAAATGATTGACCATATTTGAAAAGGGGTAATGGAAGTACTTTAAGGAACAAACAAGGTATATTTAGTAAAAAAAAATAGTTTTCCGATGTCGAAAAAACATGTTACGAAGTTTATTTTCGTTCAATATTCGAATGAATATTGTTTGAACCATGCGCTTTTCAGTTACAAATCCGGCAAATTCCTTTTAATGTTAGCCCATTATTATATACTTTATTAGTTGTTTTATCAAATATGACTGAAAATTAATATTGTGGAAGATTGAATATCCTTCCTGGGCAACTGTGATCACCATCGGGTTTAGGAAGTGTACATTTTCGCATATTTCGGTGAAGTGTTTTAAGGAGTGTTGTTAGTCTGACCTACTTTTTCGACTTGGTCATGCTGTCATCTGCTGTTCTTTGACTTTGGTTTGAGACTGTCTCCTTGCTATTTTTTTCCCAAAAACAAAAGCTCAAACACATCAAACGAATGGAAAACAATTGTCATAAACCTCGTTCTTTTCTCTTTATATAATAAAGCGGAAATGTAGGAATCATCTTGTCCCTACATCCTGTTTTCTTTGTTCTTTCCATTCATATATCCATCAGTTAGTCTAAAACAACTTTGTAAAGAGCACATTCCTCCCACATTGCTTAGTAGATTTTATTGAAGTTCAAAGTTTAAAAGTGCACTTATGGAGATTGTACACGAAGGAATTTTTTTCATAATACACATGTTAGAATAGAGTTAAAAATAGTAAGCACTTCAAATTTACCATAACATACCTGCTTTTAAGCTATCCCATAAAGTTTACCCTATCTAATTAAAATTTAGATTTCTGATTTCGTTATTCAAATACGATATATGAGCAGGCGAGTCGTTATATATCTGAATTTTAGTCAGATAGTTTTAACCCATGTTTTATACACTTATACATACCATTTTGTACGGTTTTTTAATGTCAACCAATTAATATAACTTACTATTGTTCGCACCATTAGAAACCCAACGAAAATATGAAAATAAAGTGGGAAAATCGCCAAAAGTCGCTGTCAGATCAACAACAGAGAGCTTAGTGCAAAATAAATATTTGAGTTTAGATGATGTAAAATCAATTAAAAAACTTGATAAATTCAACCACAATTTTCATTTCTCACAATTGTATAAATATTTAGATTAAAACAACTTTTTTTTAACCATATACATTCTTTATGTACATGTACTATCTTTAATATGCAAATGTTCAATCAATGCTTGACGGATGATCTACTTAAATAGCGCTCTGTTTTTCTGAATGACTTAAATGAAAATATTATGTGGCACATCTACATTGAAATTTTATAGCAAAACCATGTCCAATTAAATTTGAAACAAAAGTTGTTCAAATGCCTTTATACTTCATTTCTATTTAGCAAATTTATTTGTAACATGTTGCTGAAGTAAACATTAATATCAAAACTGCTTTGTTTAGTAAGAGGTTGCCTACTTTTACAAAAGGCTATTGATGCTGATTGGGAGATTTTGTTGTGACTCCTACACATTAATTTCGTCCTTGATACTAATATATATAACTAATGTATTGTTGACGGGCATTGCTAGTTTTCCTGCCGAAGGTCGGTGCTTCCTTGAGCACTCCGTGGGCCTCCACAACTAAAAACTGATCGCCGCAAAATACTTGAGTAGCAAACAGTGCTGAAAATTACGTTAAACACCAACAATCAATCAATCTGTTTTTACAATGTAATAATATGTTAACTATTCATGAGGTGTAAGTATTGTTATTGCGAATTACTAGAATGTAAACGTAAATATAATGGCAACATGTCTCAATTTATTTACAAGAAATTACGTAGTTTGGTAGGATTAAATACTTCGGCCAGGCATGAAGAACATTTTCAGTGGCTAGCTTATAATAGAGTTCACTTCATTAGTCAATGCACGATGCAGTATAAGCAACCAAGAAAACATAATTATAAATATTGAAATATAAAAGTTTTGCTCCCAAACTTTCCCCTTAAAGCATGAATTTCCTGTGTATTATATCCTTTAACATGTTTAATCATTTTGCACTTTTAAGATTTGTGTTTTTTAAACCTAATATTTGTATTAACATAGAACAGCTAAAAAGACTATCTTTTTGCAGATGGCGGTATTTTGGGCAACTGCATTGGTTGTTATAATTGGCTTTTTTTTTTATTAACAAGAAGCGTAATTGCAGTAATTTTATGATGCCAAAAACATCCTTAGCACTAAATAAAAATATGTTATTTGGTTTTATAGCGAATAACAATTGAATCACAGTCAAATGTTTTTGTTTTTTTCGCATTTTATCATTTTCACTGGAATTTCTGAAAAAAATGGCGCTATTTATTAAAATTTCGACATTAATATTTCAATGTGCCTTTGATAAATAACTATTAACATCTGTTCAAACAGATGTTCTTGATTCCATACAACATATTATTATTCCGAAGACAGAATTTGCAAAATATGCTGACATCTTGTAAAATTAAAAATTGTCTGTCCTTGACCTTTCATCGTGATTTGACGGAAACTGCACCATACGAATATTTGACGACCGGGCAAAAAAGATAGAACAGATGATGTGCTTTCGAATGGTATATGATTTAGCCGTATGTTAGGTGGGTGCATTAAGAATAAAATTTTATTGTTAATGTCACTCGTCTATTAAATGGTTATGGAATATATACTTTAAAAAATTTGTATTGTCTTTTCAGTGCACATCACAGGCTTACATCAGTTTACACTTAAGATTGTCATATTAAAAGAAAACATAGTTTGTGACACTTTCATGATTTGATGTTTCTGTTTTAATCAATTAGATATAAAGAGCTGTAAAGGGCTCCTGGCTGAATGTTGTATCGATATACCTACATTCCCACTCATTCTTTCGCAATATCGAACAGGACCTATACAAAATCTGCTAAAATCAAGACGGTTACATTTGTTATTCAAACTAGAGATTTAACTAATTGAATTTTAGAACAATAAAATAACTTAGATGGATGAATTTTCAACAAAAAAAAAATGATGAAAACTATGACTTCAAATATTGAAAAAAAAACCTGGTTTCTGGTGAACTGAATCCCCCTAAACAATAACTAGAAACTTTGATATCAAATTTAAAGTGTCAGATGTAAAGCATTAGGCATCAATGGAAGACCCATCACTATTGAAAATTAATTAAGTAAATGTGCATATGTCTATTCATTCTATGTGATGAAAGTTACACATTCGTATATTCATTGTTTTATCTACGTACAATTCTTTGTTTTCTACATTAGAATTTGAGAACAAAAAATGTTTAAAGATGTACCATACTATTCCAGTCGCTATTCTATTGCCGTCTTCCTTTGACTCATTCTACAATTGCCCTGAAAAATCCATGCTGTAATCTAATCATTAAATCTTTAACATTTTCACCCTTTTATGCAAAACTTTGAAATACAGTCTTGATACAAATAGCTGGATAATACAACAATTATGTGTATCAGATTCATTTCTTTACTTATTATGGCATCATTAATGTTAATTTATTTATCATTACTACTTAGCACCTTGTTATCAGTTTGTTGTTTGCATTATGTTCATTTGCAATAATTTCATGAATGTTCAGGACGAGATAATATTAATCGATACATTTAACTACTTTGTACTGTAAATTGGGTCGACATGAATGAATGGCGGATACTATGAGAAAAGAGACAATTTTTGATATGGATGTAAGTTTGGTGTACCAAAAAGTCGCATACGGATTCTTAATTTTATCATATCGGATTCAACGTCCAAAGTCTAGCATTACATACAACTTGGAAAAAGGGGATTGCCGTTCCCCTTGTTTGACCCCGAAGACAAACCAGTAGTTGAAATGTAGTTGTCTAATAATCAATTAAACCACATTTCCTTTATATGTCCATGTTTTAAATCGTCCGAGTCTGAGTTTGTGAATGAATTGGCACACCACCAAAGATCTGTTATAAACATTTAACTCGTTATTAAAGATACAAACACAGACAAAGAAAATAAGACTATGAGTTTAGAAAAAAGCGTGAAAAGCTCTTTTTTTCAGTAACATTAATTTTAGAGTTGACAACCACATATTGGCCTCAGCTGAGCAGACACAAATTTGTTATAATTTTCAAAGAACTGAAAGAATGAATAAAAACATTGGGACGCAAATCACACTTTTCAATATGAATTCTAACTATTTTTTTTTATTTCAGTTGAGTTACAAATGATCGTTTAAGAGGAAGTACAAACACGTTCTGGATTGGTTCCACAAGGAAGGACTTTATTAGTATCCACCAATTAATATTAAATATCTATTTACTAATTTTCTAGATTACCCAATACAAGCTACTAGTCGAAAGACAGACAAAACTATGGCAAATCTAAAATGGTCGCAAAGATAAATGTGAACAAACATATAACTGAAATTCTGATATGACGTTCAAACGCTTTTGAGTTGATATGTCAGCTGATTGTCAACGTCATGGATTGCACGGGGGGGGGGGGGGGGGGGGTCTCAACATGATTTTTTGGGTACAGATGGGCAGCCGGGATTTCAAAAAACCCCAATGATATATTGAAGTCTTGTGAAATCACGACCCATAAAAATATTTCATGGCAAAATCAGTACCCATTCATATATTCCTCAGACATCACATATTCATTTTTTTAGATTTTAACTTGATTTTAAACGATAAATCTAGATTTATACAAAATTCTAAACGACAAATGAAAATTACTGACCCATTGACATATTACCTAGGTGAAATCGCAGCCCATTGATGTATTTGACGTATCAAAAAAGTGACCCATTCCAGCGGCACATATGTATATACCTTCATATAAGAAGAGACCCCCGTGATATATTGTTTGGGCTGTTCCAATCTTACTTCCACGTGCACGTCGTTTGCTTTTTATGAATGAATTACCCAAGGCCAGACGTTGTAAATGACGTCATTGAACGATGACGTAAGAATATAAGCATTCTACAGGAAAAATGCACGAATTTGAAACTGAGAGTCGTCAAAACATGAAAATATAAATAAACAATGATTAAAAATTTGTTGAAAGCTCCTTTTCTTAAATATCGCTAACGCAAGTGGTAAAATATTTTGCATAAAGGACTAACCCGTGGTAAAATCACATTAAAATTCAAGCCCCATGAATTAATTCTTTAACGCAAACCCCACTAACGGTGAACTCAGATGCCCAGGATGTGTTTAGAGGTGCTGCTTACTGGTGCGTCATCAGAATTACGTTACTGTTGGAATTAATCTTAATACATTGTTATTTTAGGCATCAAAATATGCAACTCTGAGCCCAAATCCAAGGGGTGCCATTCCATAGCAAAAAGGATATAAACCAAACTTTTATTGCTATATTTCTGATTTATTTAACATTTGCTATCATCACACAAAATTTCAAGAAAATCCATGACTATGCGTGTTGCAATTTGGTTGATGGTTACAGAGAATTGCTATTAAACACAACATACTGTACAACAACAACCCGAACAAAAACTTTGGGAAAACACACAGAAAATAAGCACACAGAAAAAGGTATCTAGAGATCATTACTGTGTATAAATACTTATTACCCTTGACTATAAACGACGGCTTTCCGAGAAGCTAAATATGTTATTTTCATCCCGAGCATTCGAAATCACCCCGTTTTTATTTTGTAACACTGTCTGTCAGATTTCATAAGTGCATATCACTTTATTGCCTGTATGAAGACCTTTATCTCTAAATATATTCAGATTAGTTACACAAGACCATGACAATTTCATAGTACAAATGCAATAAGAAGTTTTGAATTTTTAATGAGTTTTTAGGTTTGATTTTGTTTAGAGATTATACATACATTATTATTCCTTAACCGTTACAGTATACCACAGTTGAATGTTACAGAAGCGAACAAGATACCAGAACTTATATTGTACAATAAAAATGACATGGAAATTTTTGTAAGTTAGTATTGGAAGATAATTACAAATCCAAATAATAGTTTTTGCGTTCACAGTACATTTTTATTGATTTATTAATTTGAAATTAGATATAGATATTCTTCTTACGATTTATATATGAGCATAAGTCTGTGATATCACTTCTTCAATTCCAATTCACAAGTATAACTAAAGAATTAAACTGATTCAGATCTATATAGTTATGAAGGTTGTTCTTGTCCTTTAAGATTAGATACATATTTAAATACTCTGTGAAGCAAAACAAATGGATCTGTAATTTTTCTGCATGTTACTGTCATATTGATGATACGAATTGACATCTATATTTCAGAGAATACCATTAGACAAAACGACCTATGAAAAATTAGATAACCTGATTAAAGATTTAGGATTTTACCGCCAAACAAAATTCAGTGACAAACTTCCACATGAATATGAAAACGGACCAGTTCCTCCGCCAGATGGCATTTCTATCGATGATCTCCTCGCCGGATTCTCCCTTTGTGAACGATATGGAATAACAAGTGAATTAACTGCAGAATACTCTTGTGGAAAATAAATCCCCGTATAATAACTACAAAAGAAATTTTGCAGCTTGATACTCAATGATATGTTTATTCAAACAATCAAATTGAATATAAACATGGATGACTGGTTTCATGCTGTAATTTATCTAGACAAATATTAAAAAGTTATGGTTTAATTTTATTTATAAAAATAAAATGAATGTTGGGCAAACAAAATTAAAGTGTAATATGGTAATAGAAAACAAAAGATATGGAGTATCCATCCATGACACAAAATCAGTACATGTACAGCAAAAACAAAAGGGCAAAGGAACAGAGTTTTTATTGCTGTTCTTAATCTCAAAGTCACAATGAGGCATTCAACATATTAAATATTTTTAGTGACCTTGTTTTTGTATAGCTATGTCCAATGTAAAGACCATGGAATAAATATATATATATAATATATAAATCGTCTAAATAACAGCCCAACAATGTTATATCTGTAAATTCGCGAAAGTTAATTTTTGTTCTTCCGTGGCCGGGATCCGAATTCATGCTACTGAGATATCGTGGCACCAAATCGCCTTGCACTATGCCCGGCGTGCTAGACCACTCGACCACCTAGGCTCGACAAAAATCAAGCTTTCGGTGGCCGAGTGTTACCTTTCCTCGTCAGTTTTTATCTAGCGTCGTAACACAGTACATGATATATAAGGCATGAAGATGGAATATTACAGATCAACTTAATTATCTATCGTAGAGGATCTTACAAATTAATGTAGGATGCAGTCACAGAAATAATTATATTATGGATAAAATCTGTCGTAGAGTTGTCACTGGTTCAGACGTACTTATAATATAATTATTTCTGTGACTGCATTTTAGAGTTTGTTGATGCTCCGGCATACCAAGAGAAACTTGCTCATGATAAGCATTATGATAAAAGAAACGGGATGGTGGTTACGATAGTTGGAACAAATCCGTGTTAATCTGTACGACAGATATTCCATAATGGTCAACCAAATCGCGATGGCGTCTGTAAGACTTCCGAAGAAATGACTTCAATTTTATCAATAGCGTCCTTATAAGCAACAACCCTTTATCCAGAATATCATGATAGGAAATGAAAGCTCTGTGATATCGCATAAACTGGGAGATAGTTCGATATGCAGGCGTTACTGGTCTATGGCTTCATAAAATGGAAAGTTCACTATCTAAAAACAGCTCTTTTGTCGTAAAGTTATATTTCCTACCGACTCTTGCTGTTTTAAAACTGCTAGTTTCATGACAAGTTTAAGACAGACTGAACAGTAGCGTTGGTATCCTTCTTTTCTAATTTGATGTGATAGATGAGTCCAACAGTCACTAAATTTTGATTTGTTAAGTGAGAGAACATAATTTTTATAGCGGAACGGAAAGTTTAAATTAGTTTTATTTTATAAAAAAATTCCCGAGAAGCTCCTGCATGAAGTCTTCTTCTTATGAATAAAGGAACAAATTGGTAAGAAGAAGATTAAAGTGTGTTTTAATAGGATTGCTGATTGTATGTTGAAAAAACACTACTACAAACGTATCAAATATGTTGTCACGAAAAACATAAGCATCTTAATGGTGTATGTTTTAGATAATGTTTTTTTAAATCAAAGTATTTTATTTTTACAAAGTATGGTTTGTTCTTTCCTAAAACAATATATGTGTATCTACGTTGGTCATTCCTGTTATATAAAACACAACCTTCAGAATGGGTAATAATAGTGTAACAGGTAGAGAAGTATAATGTTTTTATCTTGAAAAATGAAAAAGTCTATGGTTGTTTGCACACTAACAGATTTAAATTTTTATGTATCCTTATCTGATCCACACCGTCTTAGAGTAAGTTGTTTGCCGCTAGTTCTGAAGCCAGGCTTTTACTAATGATAACATAGATGCTGATAATTTTGACAGAGGTTTCGTTGATCATTTAGCAAACCCAGCAATAAAACGTTTTTGTAAGGAAACTTATGCAACGTTGGTATCCTGTACAGTGAAGGAAGGTCCAGTTCTTCATCTATGGTTAAATTTCCAAAGGCACATTAATAATTGCCGAGGAATACATGGAGTTTCCAAGTGAATTGTAAGTACCTTTAATTTGATTTGCAAACAAAACAATGTTGATCAGGGCTTATTATTTAGGGGCAACAAGATATATAATAAGTGTTTAACAACATGTGGGTCTTTGGATGATATATCTAGATCGTAGACTCATTGAATGTTTCAATTCTAATTTATAACAAAGATCTCACAGCTTGAATCCCTTGAGAAAGACTATCTACGTCTTCTGTTTTCACTTTAAGCCTATACATTTTCTTTTTCCCTCAATAGTTGATACCTGTGTCAAATTGATGAAGAATCCGTTTTTAGATTGAACATATAGGAGTCTCAATCAAAGCTGTTTTTATTTAAATATTTTCTTTTTTTTTCATTTGTTTTATAACTTTGTCCTTTTCTTGTTTTTTTTCGGCTAATGTTTTCTTCTTTTTCGATAAAGCTTCTAATTGCCTCGTGAATATTTTACAAAATCAACCAAATAGACATGAACACAGACATGCCTGACCATATGGTGTCTTACAACATTCGGCTTATGATACATATGCTTGTATTGTAAATCTTCAACTTGAAGTATTTTGAGTGGTTGTTGGTTGTTTCCCTATTTGCTGCTGAGTTTGCTCTGGGAACAGTATATATGTTCCTGGTTTGCTTGATAACATATTATTTGCTGTTTAACAAGAATTTTGACAGATATTTCAGTTGTTGTTTAGGAGTTTCCTTTTTTTTTAAACGTTACTGGGGCTACTACTATATAAAAAGTAAAATCACAAAAATACTGAACTCCGAGGAAAATTTAAAAAGGAAAGTTCCTAATCAAATGGCAAAATCAAAAGCTCAAACACATCAAACGAATGGATAACAACTGTCATATTCCTGACTTGGTAGAGGCATTTTCTTATGTAGAAAAAGGTGGATTAAACCTGGTTTGAAAGCTATCTAAACCTCTCACTTGTATGACAGTCGCATCAAATTCCATTATTTGACAACGATGTGTGAACAAAACAAACACAATAGGTAAACATATCACAAATAGGGGTACAACAGCAACACGAACTCCACCAAAAATTGGGGGTGATCTCACGTGCTCCGGAAGGGTAAGCAGATCTTGCTCCACATGTGTCACCCGTCGTTTTGCTCATATTAATACAAAGCCTGTAAATAGTCTAATTCGTTAGGTCACATTAGTGAAAAAGGAACGGGATTGTAGTTACGACATAAGGAACATATCCGATATCATCTGTGAAACGGATATTCAATAACAGTCAACCAACTCGTGATGGCGTCCGTAAAATTTACGAAGTGATGATTTCAACTTTACCATTTGGAACTCTTGGTTAAAAATGGAAAGGTCACAATTGGGAAGCTGAAATCATCTCTTTTGTCGTAAAGTTTTGTTCTCAACCAACCCTCATTGTCAATTACTAGATGTAAGTCAAGATATGAGGCAGACTTAACTGTATCTGTTGTATCCTTTATCTCTTCAAAACGTAAAGTGCTTAATGAAATGGCAAAATCAAAAGCTCAAACACATCAAACGAATGAATATAAACTGTCATATTCCTGACTTGGTACAGGCATTTTCTTATGTAGAAAATGGTGGATTAAATAATATAACCTTTGAAAATGTTTCATCTTATATCGGTATTTTTTACATTAAACCTGTTTGTTGGATTTATTGTTAATTTATTTCTTGTCCTGAAATATTTGCTACTGAACGTAAAACAAACAACAGTCAATAAATCCGCTGTTTTTTTTTCAAGTAGTGATAACAAAAAATCCGAAGCAACTGTAAAAAATTACATTCTTAAAACATTGTGACTTGGATGGATAGTTGTCTCATTGGCACTCATTCCACATCTTTTAATCTATATTAAGGTGGTACTAAACACCTTGACTAAAATGGCTCGTTTAATTTTCATAAAATTTTGACAAAATAGTAACTTTATCCCTTTGACAAAAATATAAAAATTTCAAAACACTTAAACCACATACTTTATCGGAAAAAAATCATTGGATATATACTTTATCGGAAAAAATTCATTGGATATATAGCAGCAGTTTGACGAACACTAATGTTGATCATTGAGAAGCTTAATATTTCCTTAACAATAGAATGTGATTAAAACGTTCAGCTGATTTTAACAGAGTTATCTCCCTGTAGTGGTATGTACCGCCTTAATAGAAGAAAATCAATGAGAACAACCTACGGAAGTATTTGAAAACAGTAATTTGATAAAACATGTACAAATGAATGTGTATTCATTCACAAAAGCGTCTGCTATTCAATTTAAATCGCTGTTTACAATTCATGTAACCAAATATCTCCTTTTATATGCATTTTAAAAAGCAATTGAAATTAACAAAATTCATACAATTTAAACGAGTTGCTTTATCAATAAAATATAATGTAAAGGTATTACGAACGTATATATGTGGATAAATATTAGCATGAAGGTGTGGAGAATTTTCAAGATTCACTGGTATGTAATTTTATTCATATTACGATATTGTATGCTCGTTGGCACCAAGAAGATTGTATAAGATGTTCAAACAGATATGCACAATAACCAGTGATACTAACCAAAAAATAGTTTTGCATTCATTGCATTATGACAATCGCGTCGACGACAACATACGGTGTCTTCATTAGAAGAATGATTTATTTCCCGATTTTATTACGATCTTTCTAATTGTGTCTTTTATTGAATGTCGGTTGTTCTCTCCGGACAGTCCATCTTCCTCCTCTAATATAAACTGACCACCACTATAGTGCTAAAATTGACGCCAATCAATCAATCAAACAAACAATCAATCAATCAATCAATCAATCAATCATTCAATCAATCAATCAATCAATCAATCAATCAATAAATAAATCAAGCATTCAATCAATCAATAAATGTGTCTTTTATTTAAATTATTAGATTAAAGTCTTTTCAAACTAACAGATCTTTTATTTATAACATCCCTATTACGTGAAGATACAGCTACTCAATGTATTTAGGAATTTATAATTTCGAAAGCTTTCCTGATGAATTTAAATCCAAAAATGATTATTTATATATTCAAATTTATATATATTATATATATTTACTTACAGAAGTAGTATTTCTGTCGCAGAATGCCAGGAAGCAGATATGGTCTGTATGGGCAGATTAAAGCAGACAAACCACTTGAACTTGAACCAATTATAGTAGAAATTGCTAATGCAAAACAATCTCAAGGTGAGCCTCTTACAATATCTGGTGATTAGTTTAATACACTGTAAAGGGGGAGGGGGGGGGGGGGGGGGGGTCTGGATGATAGGTACCTTATTTCTATATTTTTATGTAAGCACTCAATTAGTTTCTATTCTTTATATTTTAGCACCCCTTATTCTCTTTTCATAAAGTTTCCGTCTGTCACATGTCCATTGTCCTTGACCTCATTTTCATGGTTCAGTGACAACTTGAAAAAAAAGTTAAGATTTTTTGTAATGTTAATTTCTCTCTTTTTATGAGTAACAGGATAACTATATTAAGTATGTGCGTACCTTGCAAGGTCCTCATGTCTGTCAGACAGTGTTCATGTGACCTCAACCTCATTTCATAGATCAGTGAACAAGGTTAAGTTTTCGTGGTCAAGTCCATATATCAGATACTATTAGCAATAGGTCTACTATATTTGGTGTATGGCATGATTGTAAGATGTATATGTGCAACTGTCATCTGACCTTGACCTCATTTTCATGGTTCAGTGGTTAAAGTTAATTTTTTGTGTTTTAGTCAGTTTTTCTTACACTATATGCAAAAGGTCAATTATATTTGGTGTGTGGAAATAATTTACGATGTACATTTCAGTCTTGCAGGTTTTGTTTTACCATGACCTCATTTTCACAGTTCTTTCTCATTATTAAGTTTTTGTGTTTGGGTCTGTTTTCCTTAAACTATAAGCAATAGGTCAACTATATTTGGTGTATGGAATGACTGTAAGGTGTATATGTCTGTCTGGCAGGTATCATCTGACTTTGACTTCATTCTCAAGGTTCATTGGTCAATGTTAAGCTTTCATAGTTAAGTTTGATTCTTAGATAATATAAGCAATATGTCAACTATATTTAATGAATAGATTTATGTAGGGTGTACTTGTCTGTCTGGCATGGTTCATATGACCTTGACCTCGTTTTCATTGTTCTTTAATCAGTATTCAGTCTTCCTGATTAAGTTTGATTCTAAGAACTATAAGCAATATGTCAACTATATTTGGTGTATGGCATGATTGTAATGTGAACATGTACTGTAAATTCAGAAATTATTGCGAGGTTTTTATTAATGCGAATAATGCGACTACTTGAGTATCGCAATAATAAGAACTCACATTCTCATATCAAATACATATTATTTGTATATAGCTTTTCCTAAAATCGCAATAATTAAACTCGCATTTTTGTTAATTCTTCAAAAATCGCAATAAAAAATGCACGCAATAATTTCTGAATTTACAGTATTTCAAGTTGGGTTTATCTAACCTTGACCTCATTTTCTTGGATCATGTTATGTTTATGTGATACTTGTAGTATAGCTTTATATTTAGGACTATCAGTATAAAATCAATGGTCAGTAAAGCAGGCGCGAGATTTCAGCGTGTGCACTCTTGTTTCAATAGCTACAGTTCAAAAGGGTTTACACAACAATGATAATGAGGGACTCTCAGTACTTCTTGTCTTTTCTGTTTCAAGGAATTCGTCTACTTTATACACAGGGTCCATTTTCGGAAATCTAATTATTTAGTGCAGCTTCGGTTTTTGAAAGCTTTTTGCTTTTCTTTCTTGACATATTTGTTTGTTTTTATAGTGATTAAGATTATAACACAATGTTGACTGCTGTACCCCTATTTTTGACATTTTTACCTATTATGTCTGTTTGTTTTCTTCACAAATTGTTGTCAATATAATTGTATTTTATGCGACTATCATACAAATTAGAGGTGTAGCTAGCTATAAAACAAGGTTTTACCCACTATGTTCTACATAAGAAAATGCCGGTACCAAGTCAGGAATATGACAGTTGTTATCCATTCGGTTGATGTGTTTGAGCTTTTGTTTTTGCCATTTGCTTACGGACTTTCCGTTTTGAATTTCCTCGGAGTTCGGTATTTTTGTTACATTTTATTTGCATTTTGCATTTTTCGTAATCTTTGACTTGCTGTCAAATTTGACACTATAGCGTTTTTTTCAAAACCCTCCATATTTTCATTTCTAGAGCTAGATGTGGGAAGTATTGTGTCCTCAACACAAATTTAGAATAATTCTCAATTTCTACAAGAGCTTAAAGGGACCAAAGCTGGAACTAACTATTTTTCAGCACATTGTTCAAACATCATACTTTTCATTTCTGTATGGCAATATCGTTCATCTGTATTCATACCTCTAAATACTTAATCACATCCTTTTAAAAATTCATCTATTATGTAGGTACTTTTTCATAAAATATCCATGTTTTGTTCCAAAAGTCACCAGGCTAAAGGTACAACAAGCTTGCAATTAGTAGCTGTAACAAATCCGATTTTTTCCCCAGTGAAGCTTATGTTTTGAAATTGACGTCCAATGGAAACTCTGTTTTATTGTAGTGGTGACACCCGATTTAGAAGACACCAAGAAAAGATGGTTGGTTGTTGGTATATGTCTTCATAACGTTGTATCACCAGCATTGAGAGAATATGTTTCAAAATCCATGAATCAGGTGTTTAATACACTATAGCAATCTCACAAGATAGATATACAATGCTATCCAAACCAACTAAAGTGCTATAAAGGGACAGTCCATCTCAATTATGAAGCTATCAACAACAACAGAATAGTTCGTTCTGGAAGGAACAAAGATTATCAGAACTATGATTATAGAATACAGAATCCTATGGAATTCTCGAAGCTGTTCTTGAACGCAAATATGGCACAATACACAGGTTTTGATGAAACATGTGATTCTTCCGCACTTCTAAACATCATCATGTGCAGTGATACATCCGTACTTGGTCGACTTGCAGATCAAGTGAGTTTTTATTAACTTTAAATAAAAACCATACGATAATGGTCGACAATATGGATTTGCATATAAATTATCCACTTGAATATGAAACTCAAGTAAACAAAGAATTGTTTAGTCGCACCAGGCACCATGCTTAAAATCGTCCTGGAAAACCAATGTAATTACCATATTCAAGAAGCGTGATCCACCTCATTTATCAAATTACCGGACAATAGGATAGTTGAGGGTTGTAAAATGTTATATGGTCACTATTCCTCTGCTTCAACCTCTCGGGTGATAATCCATTCTACTACCTATGTGTATTAGACAGAACCTGAATGTAAGCCCTGGTCTTTACATTGTAGCCCTTATATACCTAAAATCAAATGATCATATAGGAAACAAATATTTGTTTTTTCTATTAATTTTTAAATATGCCCGACTAAAATCGATTGCCTCTTTTTGGTTCTTTTTGAATTAAAAACATTTTAAATTTAATATAACACGCTTGAAAATAATCAGCTCATACTATCTTATCGATTAATTACTGCCAAAAGGATTGAAATTGATTGATTACTATCCTGTTGTAAAATATATCATGCAATTTATCATTATAGGATTAAACACATTTTTTCTAGAGGTTATTCAGTCGGAAAGCAAGCCTTTAGAAACGACCGTTGTTGCTACTTTCTTAAGACAACAATGGGACTGATATTAAAGCCGGCCATTCTGAAATTGCGTTAATTTCGCGGAAAAAATAAATTGGTGGCAATATGGAAAAATTTCTATTTTCTGTTTTTTACTTGCCATTGGAATCAGAAATAGATGTCTTCCTATCTGTTAAGCATGTGTCTTATTATTAAAGAAAAAAATACCTAAATTGGCAGTCCTTTAAGGAGGGTGGTATAGGGTTATTTTCTTGCAACGTGATCGCCGTTTTTTTATTTCACGTTCAACGTGTTTTTACTTTTTTATTTAACGTTCAGTCGTGCAAGACAGGTGCCTCGTTCAACGTGTTCTGCTTATTTAATTTTACGTGCATCGTGATTTTCAAATGCTTATTTTGCGTGCTCAGTATTTTTCAAATAAAATTCAAATACTTGGCAGGGATCGTCAAGAAATACTTTTTTAAAAGCCGTAAACCATTTACATCATAAATGTGTATACTAAATCGGAAATAACAAGTAAAACAGAGAGTTTATATATACAAGAAGACAGTGACTCAGTCACAAAAAGGTTCACAACAGTCTTTATTTTTCGTGCAACGTTCATGACAGAAATTATTTCACGTTCAACGTGAAATTTTGTCTTATTTCACGTTTTTTCCGTGCAAGCACCCCCCCGTCCCCCCTTTACCACCCTCTTTAACGAATACGTTAAAAAATTATGCGGAATCGTCTGTTACTTTTTCTTCTTTTTTTCACAGATAAACAAAACTAATATTTATAATATAAAAAAAATAATACGTATCTCAAAGTTAAACAAATATTTCAAGTCTAACGTTCTGTCACCCCTTAGGAAAACTCGTTTGAACTAAATTCCGACAGAAAGACATTTTGTGACATTGTACATTTTTGGTCTTACACATCGATGTCAACATGCATCTGAACAGAATAATTTAGTGTGTTTGTTTGAAAAAGCAATGGCGAGTTCAGCTGTGAATTTGACTGGATTAATTATTCTCTTTAAGTGAAATGTTTGACGTTAACTAAAACAATAAGGTAAGGATATTTTATACTGTCTGTGCACAACCTTGAATTTTAGATGACTAGGAAAAATCATTCATTGTTAATATTATTTTTTTGTGATGAAGGAATCCTGCAAAAGTAAATGCAAATATAACATGGTCAATGGAAACATGAAAGTCTTGTCCTTTGAACTTAAAACAATTTCTTTCAGACTTGCATTTTAATCACTCTTATTCAAAGCATTTTCATAATTACATGAAGTGTGACTTACTTGTGATCTAAAACATCATTATTGACTTAGCACTCAGAAACTGCTCTGAAATACTTTTAATATGCATAGTTATTTATTTTTTTTAAATAGAGTGTCTAGAAAAAGAAAAATATGAGATCGAATCTTTCTCGTTGTTATTTATTCGCAAGTTCATGATTATAAACCATTTAAATAATTATGCATTGGTTTAGGCTTTTTTTATAATTTGAGTTCATTCAGTATAACTTGCATGGAATCAATGAGACAAAATTTATTATTATATTTAGTTTAATTATACACAGATTGCAAACCAATTTCCTTTTATTTAAAATTATGAAGAATTTACATTGAGAATACCTTGATTATTATTTCTTTTAAATGTATATATGAAAAAGGTAGGATCAGGTATCAGTATTGAAAGGGAATTCATTTTAACCTTGTCTAGATCCAGTATTTATGCATATTTTGGCTAGCCTTGGTCTTTATGTAGTAGATATTTTATTTCTGTGTTGATATTTGGTTACAGCAGTAAAAATGTTTACCAAAATATTGAAGTAACTCTTGGAATAATATATTATGGCACAGAGTAACATTTACTGCAATATTATTTTAAGCCATATTTCAGTTCTGAAACTGTTTTAAAAATGATAAAATGTGTTTACCTAATTGTTTTACATATGTCTGGAGTGATCTGTACGTAGTATCAAAATATATTTAGTAAAAAGATAATTAATTATTTTAATAATATTCACTTGTAAATAACAGCATATGGTGCTTAATATTTATAATAGTCAGATATATAAGATTGTTCATGAAAAGTGTGAACAAAGGGACGTAACTCGTAAATTACTATCGGAACAGCTTCGTCAGAAATATCGACACATCGAAGTGGCACATTTGCGTATTACTGCGTATTAAGTGGCACAAATTTGACACGGGACAGTTTATAAAAAGCCTCATCACATATTTTAAATTCAGCATAGGTTCCCCAGAAATTAAGAAAGAAATTTCAACTGATGTGTTGAAAAAAATTGACGCGACGAGTGACGACCTGGGGTTTGAAGGTTTCGTATTCTTATTCAGTACGCTTAATCAAAACAGTTTGTATGTTAGAACTTCTAAAAAGTATACATAGTTGGCATCTATAACGAACAGCATGCTTTGATTTCATTTGATATGACTTTTTGGAGGAAACAGACTCGTTTCAGTTAAATAAAAAATTACCCCAAAAATGCCCAAATATGGTAGTCACATGACTTCCATTGTTGCTTTAAGAAATGGGGTCAAACTAGGGTGAGCTTTCCGACTGATTGATGTGTACACTGGGGCGATTAACTCAAACTTAATAAAAGTCCGAAAGACTTTTATGCAAAGTTTGTGAGTCAGCGACCCAGTTTATACATCAATAACCTCTAGAAAAAAATGTGTTTAATCCTTATCATTCTTAACCCAAAAATTTGTAATTTTTAATTAACAAATTTTAGTACATTGGCTACTACATACCGTCAAATGCAATTGGCATTTCGTAACTAAGGAGTAAGCACCCATATTGACGTTCTGAAATCTATTGTTGTTCTATTAATGCAAGAGAACCTAAAATTAAATAACACCTATCTCAAAAACTTCATTTTAATGATATGTTATTTAAATTTTAATCGTTCAAGAAACATAATAATCTTCATCTTGAGAGTTTTCATTCATATGACGTCAAGTTTTCCCACAAAGTTGATGCGCCAACCTCATTCATGAAATTTCCCGGAAATTCATTTTATTGTAAATTTATACATTTTCAAAGCTTTAATGCAATAATTCATTTTATTATTTATTAGAATAGAAATACCAGTCACGTATATGTTTTTTTCAATTTCAATTTGCTTGAACCCCTTGATACCACGAATCTGTTTCACGCATGAATAGATCATGTTGCAATCAAGAATTCGAAAATAGTTCCGGCAACATGGTCCAATGAATTGTAAAGCAAGGAAAAAAATGCCAACGGACCAATCCAATTTAAGTATTTGTAGATATGCAAATCATATAAGAATAATGACGAAATAAAATCAGGAATGTAAACATGAACAAAAGATTGGTTCTGCAAGAATGGAAAATAGTGATGAAGGGCGGGATATGTAAAACAAAATGAGGGTATGTTGGATACGGACAGAAATGTTTCCTTGCAACTAGCCTTCAACGAACTTTCAATAAGTAATTACAAGGGTTTGAACCCTCCGTGTACGGGACATCGGGTTTGACGTTCCTAATTAGACCCGAGGCAGCTGCGTATTTATACATTCAGTACAGCCAAATGGACGTCATTTGCGAAACGAAGATAATGAGATCATTTTCTAAATTTCGAGAGCTTAATTGAATATGATACGGAGATTGGCGACACATGTATTTCAAATGAAAGATCTTGAATAATTCTAAGTACTCTATTTATCCATAAATGATTTTATGTAATCTGTATATACACCCTTTCTTACTTGTTTTGCAGCTACGAAATGATGTAAGAAATCCTTGGGCACACTGTAATTTTACCGAATGGGATGCAATGAAATACTTAGCATCAATTCAGCTGATGCAACAACTTATCAGACATCTACACATGCCTTCTGAAATGAAAGTCCTAGCAGACTTATCCCACTGGGAAGTAAATGGTAAAGTTATTTATTTACTATAGGAATAAAAAGATGTTTAATTGCTAATGAGACAAATCTGCACGAGATACCAAATGACGTAGAAATCAACCAATAATAGTCATCGTTCTTTTGATTTGAGATTTTTGAAGTAACTGTCAACATATTGGGTCATTAATCGATACATTGAAATACCTTCTTTTCCAAAACTTTGTCATAACAAAGGATGCTTAATTGTATGCAAAATATATAAACATTAAAATGGTTAACAAAAATATTAAGAGGTATCTTACCAATAATGTCCATTAGTGATATCCGTCTTGTTACTACTGTTGAAACACGTAAATGCGACACACCCGATGGTAAAGCATCATATTAAGGGATTGCTTGAGTTTTCTTGGACGGTCTTTAAAAACTAATCCATTTCAATACTGATTTTTTGCAAAAACCATGGCCGTTAGATCGCTAGATGTATATATTTTTTTCGGAAGCGTCTTTTCGTTTCTCTTTCTAGCTGGCCATGGTTGTCCGAAACAAATACATTTGAGTTTCCAAAACACAACTTATAAAGACGAAATACATATAGGGGTACCTCGGAGAGACATACTTAAATATGAGAAAAAAGGGGGAAATTTCAACTAGTGTTAATCAAAATAGAAATTTTATGAAAATGCTTTCTAGCTTGTATTTTTAGTTTCCATCGCTAAAGTTACACACGTTATACAGATAAAAGAGATGGAGGGGGAATCCGTTGATGTCATTCCATATCTGTATGTCTATTTTAGGTATCAACTTTTTACAAGGAACTAGATTAGGTCTAGAAATAGTTGACGAAGTGAATAAACACACTCAAAGTTTGGCCAAGTATGTACTCCAACTCAAAGCTGAGACGAGTTCCTACTCTGAAATGGTTCACAGTTCGTTAGTTCTGATATCTAATGATATGAGCAATGTCTGTAAACGTATTGACCAAACCGATATAGATTTATCACAAATCACAAGCGAAGTCATTTCACTGAGGCTTCAAACTGATAGCATCGAGCATATTGTAAATGAAAACGTCAAAGATATCAAAGATATAAAAACTGATTTAGAAAATATAAAGAACTATAACTCGCATCAGAGACCCAAAGAAAAAAATTTCTTTTATCCACCAGATAGAGTTAGTGTTTTTGTTGGTAGGGAAGACAAATTGCTATCATTGAAAGAAAAATTTGTCCAGAATAAAGATGTTAACCACACAGAAGTAATATGCGGATTGGGAGGTTGTGGTAAAACTACTTTGTCCATAGAATTTGCATGGATGTGTCAGCAGTTCTATCCTGGTGGTGTCTTCTGGGTTTCTGCGGAATCAAATGACACCCTAGAGGATACAATTACCACACTTGCTATTGATGTAAGCACACCAGGACAAAACAGTAAAGAGACTTTCAAAAGAACTCTCATGTGGTTAGGACGCTTAACAAAAAGATGGTTGATTATAATCGATAACGCAGATACAGCTATCATTTCTGGTCAAATGAAGGAACTACTGTTAGGAAATTGGAAGCGAGACTCAAAAGGTCATGTCATAATAACATCAAGACGAGAGCCACTTGCTATAGAAGAGACTTTCCATGTCAGCACAGACAACTGCAATCATCTAGAAACTTTAAATGACGATGAAGGAGTTCAATTTTTGATCAAACGAACTGGAATGTGTGATGAAAGGTCCAATGACAACATATCAAAATTAGTAATAGAGCTTGGAGGACTTCCGTTAGCTTTAGAACAAGCTGCCGCTCACATCAAAAGCATTAGATGTTCCTTCAAAGATTACCTAGCCAGTTTCGAGAAAAAACGCCTAACATTATTATATAAGACCACAAACCCTCCTTTCGAAGCAAATATAGAAAGGCTCGCAGTAATGACAACTTGGCAATTGAACATGGATTACATAAGGTCTCAGTCGGAAGCGGAAGGGCTTGGGACGTCTGCTGTTATCGTCATGAAAGTAGCATCTTTCCTATTTGCAGACGATATGCCCGTTGAAATTTTCAATAGTGGGAAACCCACAATAAGTGACGAAGAAGCATATGAAACACTTACAGACCCAGTTGGAATTAAACATGCTGTTGAAATTTTAACAAGGTTTTCGTTATTTCAAAGATATCGATCAGAAAGTTTATCGGTTCACAGATTAGTCCAAGAAGTGATAAGAAGCAACGTTGATAGAAACGAGAAAAAATTTGTTCTTCAATGTGCAGTAAGAATGATTAATAAAGCGCTAATGTTAACAACAACTCCACACGCAGCTATTCTTAAAAACAAAAATGAACCACATGCTTCTAGAGGATTGCTCAATCTATGGAACAAATTAGCAGCAAACGCAAATGCATTAAAGAGTTATCTCATTATTAGCAAAGATAGCCAGGAAAACAAAGATCTCTTTACTAGTTTGGAATCTGCAAGAGTAATTCAAGCGTCAGCTATTTACAACAGTCTGTCCCAGAGACAAGATGCGGCACTGGAGGATCAAAATCAGATGCTTTATATAATGGCGTCCTTAGATATGGAGGAGCATACTTGTAATGAACTTACAAGTGTTAAAATACCACTTTTAGAGAGAGATCGTATGCATGTCCAAAATAGCATTGCTTAATGAAAATACTAAACGTTTTGCAGTAGTTCCTCTTTCAACAGACAGATTGAGAGAAATAGGTAATCAAGCATTTCAGGAAAAACGATACGAGGACGCTCTTCAATACTATACTGAAGCGTTGCGGGCCTGTTCAAACAAAGATTGCGACTATAGAATACTTTCAAACAGAAGTTTAGTTTACCTGAAGCTTCATGAATATACTTATGCTCTTAACGATGCTAATGCTTCTATCGAAATAAATCCATATTTCTGCAAACCTCATGTATGGAAATCATACGCCATTGCCAAATTGAGGAATAAAGGCAAATTGCAATCTAAAATGGAAGGTTCGGGTCTAGCAAGTGCTTCTATTGCAGCATTTTTAAATGAGCTATCCCTACTTGAATATAAAATGAAAGTTCATTATCCTATAGTTATGTATGAAATCATAGAATGTGAAAATCAGTACACCGATTTACAATCCCGGATTATGTCTATCTTAGATCGACCATTTACAACATACCTGCTGAAAAAAGGTCGTTATACTTCTCACAACTTGTCAAACCAAAAAAGAGTTGTCAAGTTATAGGAGTTGAACCCGGGGTGGAAATCGAAATAGAACATGGGATTCAAATTTCAAGACCTTTAGATTCTGAATTTGAACTTGATTTCGAGCGAGAACGAGAAATAGCGGTTCATTTTGAAAACATATTGTTTTGTTCTAAAGGTAGCCAAGTAAAAGTACATAAAGGTGGAATTGGAACTTTCTATAGATGCAAATTTTCGAACCAAATTCTTGAAGAAGACTATGAACTCAAAGAAAATATCGACATCTTTTACAAAAGGTTTTTAAGTAACATTGATATGAAAGACAAAAAACATAGCTCAAGCATCGTCTTATCACAAGGCGGAATGATTGTTTTAAACTCATGTGATATAAGAAGTAATGGCGGTTGTGGCATTTTTTTACACGGTGAAAATTCTTTCCTGGACATTTCGAACTGCAATGTTCACAACTCAGTGATAGGAATAGTCGTTGGAGATGGAGGAACCATGAAAGCTTTAGACAATCAAATATGCTGTCAGACACTGAATGGCGTAGCAATTGGTCCTAATGGTACAGCAACTTTGAAAGGTAATACCATTTCACAAAATAAAGCTGAGGGTATATGGTGTGGTGGAAAGAACAAATATAAAGAGCTTAATATTGCAAAAACTATGGTCATTGCAGTTGACAACATTATATTTCAAAATGGTTTATCTGGAGTTTGTTTAGAAGGGGGGTGCTTTTTGTTAAAGAACAATAAAATATCTGATAATTGGGCATGGGGAATATTTATACAGGAAAGATCTTCTGTTTTTGCTGAAAGCAATGACATTTCTTCTAATAAGTGTGGCCGCATAAGAGTCGGTATGAATTATTCTGCCTCAGTTATTATTGATGGAAATACAATTAAAAACCATAGTGGACCAGACATTTTGGCTATTAATGATGAAATAAGCTATGATGCAGAGGCTGCAGATTTAGATGAGACTAAAACATATTCAACCCCTCCAATCATAACAGACAGAAATCTCAGCTTATATAATAATAAACCAATTCAATCTCCTAGAGATACAGTGATGTCCCAAAAAACATGTTGTGGTTGCCAAAAAATGTCAACAAGCGTTGAAGGCCCGTACCAATTGTAGGATTGCTCAATATTGTTCAAAAGAATGTCAAAAAAATCATTGGATACTTCATAAGCATATGTGCCCGCTCTTATCAGAGAAATACACAATTGAAATTCGAACAACAGACACACAACCCCGTGCACCAGATATCAATACAGAATATGTATTTTACACTCGACATTTTCATCCCTCACTAATAGGAATATGTGAGGGGCCTGCCCCTGATGTGAAATCAACGAAGAGGTTCATCGTAAAAATTCAATCTGACCATGATTTTTTGCCGTACAACCCAAAAAAATATTTGACACTTTATGATCAAAGCGTTACTTTGGATATAAGGCTAATAAATCCTGAACTTTATCATCTATGCAGCGAATGTGGTAGACTCAGTGGCGATAAAATTTCGTCGAAAAAGATTTTTTGTTGGGCATCATATAAAAAAGGAGGAGATATTCTTTGTATTCATACTGACGAATTTCCATCATTTCAAACATGGTGAAAAAATTATACGAATTTATAATTTACCAATTCGAAATACATGTTGGTACTTCGAATATACATGACTTTTGGCAAAGTTGAATAATGAATGTACAAAGCTTCAAAGTACATTAAAAAAAATATATTCATACAAACCAGTTTTGGTTTGTTTGAATGATCCTCATGTTACTGGTACCATTATCGTTTGACTTTCATAGTCCTTGTTATACATTTTCAAACGAAATAGTTAAAAGCACAAAACTTATTCACAGTCATTTAAGTTACAATTTATTAGTTACCACAAAACTATTGTCACAGAAAGGCTGAAACTAATCGGAGATATACAACTTGCATAGTTATGTTTTTATTGTGCAAATAGGCAAGTAGACAAAAAGTTATATGAGTTTTTTCAAGAGCTAATAAGCCTCCAGGGAGCTCTGTTTATTAATAAATATTTATTCAATTTAACATCCGAGTCTAATCAAACAAGCTTCCATAAGCAAGACTAGTTGTAAAGTTAAACTTTAATATACAGAATGAAAACTAGTTATTTACACACAATATACAGAACTCCTATTTATTTCATCCCACACAATTTATATAAGTCATATAATCGAATTATAAAAAAATAATTTTCGGGATCAAATATACAATTTATCCATAAAAATTCTGAACAGAAAACAGCAGGAAAATAAGGCAGTATAAACATGCTATCAAAAACTGGGCAGGGGACTGGGATGCTTTTGATGGATGAGAAGTCGATCTTGCACTACCTGTGTACTCCGCCGTTTTGATAAAGACAAGTCAATAACTAATTAGATTCACAGAAACTTAAGATTGCCATGTAATGTCGATATTGACCAATTTTCCCTTAAAATGTTGAAAAGACAGACATTTAACTAAAAAAAATAGACATAATTGAACAAAATGATAAGCAAAACAATACCTACAAACTCTTCTAATAACTTAACTTTCCACTTGTCTTCATAAAGGAGTTCATGTGTGTACCTTATATCGGTTGGATACCAATGTTTGTGGATTTCGTGAGGATAGAAACATAGTTCTTAGTTTTCTGTCATGTGTTTTGTAAAGTGTTGTATGTCTTTTAGTCTATTTTTCGTTTTTTGTTATGTCACTGTCAGTTCGTTTTTTGCTATGTCACTGTCAGTTCGTTTTCAACTTATGAGTTTTGAATATCCCTTTAGTATGTTTTGCCTCTCGTTTAACAGCAGCAAAATTAAAACTTTAGATTTTTCTACACTTTACACTACTATTCCCCATGCTCAATTGAAAGATCGACTACACCACCTCACTAAACAATGCTTTTTCTATAAAAATGTGAATCGTTGATATAAATCTAATGTTTTGGGTTATAATAATTCTTATTCTGTGAAGAACCACACTGATTCTATCAGAAAATATACTGAAGATGATATTATCAAAATGCTGGACTTTTTGATCGACAATATATCTGTTGAGTTTGGAGGATTGATCTTTCAACAGACAGTGGTTATTCCAATGGTTACTTATTGTGAACCCCTACTGGCCGATTTGTTTTTGTACTCGTATGAAGCAGAATTCATTCAGAACCTTCTAAAAGATAAAAATAAAAAGCACCTTGCGAAATTCTTTAATATTACTTTCAGATATATTGATGATGTCTTATCACTGGATATCCCATATTTCAACAAGTTCTTTCATTTCATATATCCCAATGAACTTGAATTTAAGGATACTACTGATACTAGATGGACTGTTTCATACCTTGATCTTTTCCTCAAAATTAACACGGACTGACGACTTCACACTAAAATCTGTGATAAACGGGACGATTTTAACTTCCCAATTATAAATTTCCCATTTCTCAGCAGTCACAAACTATCTGCCCTATCGTATGGTGTTTACATATCTCAGTAGATACGTTATGCTCGTGCATGTTAACACTAAAGTAACTATATATACAGGAGTGTGCTCCTTATGCAGAAACTGCTCCAACAGAGTTATGAGCGTTAAAGATTAAAAATGGCCCTCCCATAATTTTATAGACACCACCACGGATTGGTTGATCTATACGATTTGTTGGTGTCTGTGTCTTAACTAACTTACAACTTTTTGTACCACGTCTTTAGATTGTGGTTTACCGACGTCGTCGGCTGGTCTGCTAAGTACCGAACGTGACTAATTCCCGAATGATACTGTTTTGCCGAGTGTGATTTCGCATTGCTATTAGACGTGTCTCGGTATTTATACATCCAACATTCATGTTTTTAGTTATTATGTTTCTTTTGTAAGTCTGGGTATATATTGTGCTATGTCTTATCGTTTGTGGTTTGAATTCAATATTTATTTTTTTATATGTATGTGAAAGTTAAGATAATTAATCAGCTTGCTCATTTATATGATTTATAGTTTAATGCAACTACATGCTCATGATTTAATTTTGATTTTACACAGTTTTGATTTAGAAGAAAACGACACGGTTAGAAAATACAAATAACTACACCATTACTAACACAATTCTATATTAATAGGTTTGTAATGGTTAGAAAATACATAAAATAACACTATTACAAACTTAATCCCAATTTTATATTCTATTTTTAAAGATTTACCTGTGATGTCACTTTTTGTGGCGTTAATATATTCGTGTGACGCACATATCATAATTCTATTGTGGTGTACTGTCGTAAATTAATGAAAGGTGTCCGTTGTTATTCTGTGGTTTACATGTTGTAATGTACTATTATATCATTCATCTATGTATTTCTCTGTCCTAAGTTGTCTTTCGTTTATTTGTACTGTACTCCTGTCACGTAATGTTGTAATTTTAGCGGTATTTTTATTATTGCCATATAAGGTTTAGCTAGCCATGAAACCAGGTTCAACCAACCATTGTTTCCAAATGTCCTGTACCAAGTCAGGAATATGGCAGTTGTTATCAAATAGTCCGTTTCTATGTATGTTGGCCTTTTTTGTAGCAGTTCAGTGTTTCTGTTGTTCCGTTGTTTTCCTCTTATAGTTGATGTGTTTTCCTCGGTTTTGGTTTGGGACCCGGATTTTTTTTCGCTTAATCGATTTATGACTATTGAACAGCAGTATACTACTGCTGTCTTTATTTAAATAAGTAATGAAGGAAAAATTATCCTTATGCTTGTTTGCAGACTTGATCAAAATCCACAAACCAACAGTATTGCCCTTAAGGTAGTATAGGAGGCTTCCGCCATCTTGGATTGTGAAAAAGCATAACACAATAGGTCAAGGGTTAGTACCACCATGGGTTTTACCCTATGAGTCTTTGTTCAATAATATCTTTCAAAAAATGTGCAAAATAGAACTTTGTTTCATATAAAGAATTACTTGGCATGAGTTAAGTTTTATCCTGTTCATTACTACAGTGAAAATTCTACATAACATTTTTTTGTATACAAGATAACAACTATCACTGGAAGTAAACCAATAAAATTCGCATTCCTTTTCTCCTGTTTACAAGCTTAAGTAATCATGTCACCTTAAGTTTCTAAAACACTTTATAGAAACAAAAAATGATGGTGGTTTGAATTACCAAAGATATATGATTATGACTCAGAATTGGTTTATGCAATGAAATGCAGGACTAATTCCCTACATATTGTTCGACCCATTTTTGCATTAAACCGGATGTGACGTACAATGTTTTGTAATTACGCCTCCAGATTTGCAATCGAGTCAGCAAAATGAAGGAAATCAATTTACTAATAACATGTGTGCTTTTATCTTGTAACTTCTAACATTTTAATTTCACAAATACAGACAATAGCTTAGCGTGTTCAGGTAACGCTCTGTTTCATTTGACCTTATGTGATGTGAAAAGTTTTTATCTGTGCAAGGACATCTATCCAAACATGCGTATACCGGGGTTGATTCAATACACTGTGAGTTTAACTTACAAGTTTTAGATTTGATAATGTATAACAAGCGATTTCACTTTATGTTATATCCATGCTTACAGGGAAATAACACGTGACGAAATAATATAAGATATTTGAATGCATATGATATTAGATAGTATTAAATAAATTGAAACGATTGAGAATGGCAAGAACAACAAGAATTAACAAAAAAAATAGAAGCTGAAAACTTATCGATTAAAACCACACAATTAAGATAAACAAAAGAATTCCCTATGACTAGGTGACTGTTCCGTATTTACTATTATTCAAAGATATGATAACACCATCTGTTTTCAAATAAGAAGGGATTCGAGATATACATCTTGAAGGTTGTGGCTAGTGTCACGTAAAAAACGAGTAATGAAAGTTACATTGTTCATGAATAGTGGCCAATCCTCGACACTGAAGATAAGTTATTCTCCGGCTATAAGGAAGATGAGATGGTATCAACGGCTCTTGATCATACAATTTGGATGATACCATACGTTAGTGGTCTGTCGGTCAATATTGCATACATCTCCAAAATCAATGTTTGAAGTATTTCAAGATAAGCGTAGTGAATTAAAATTACTTTTCGTAAAATAGTTTTATAATGTTCTATAATCAGTAAAAGATAATGAGTTGATTAATAGTCGAAACTCTTTGCTGGATGCAAAGAAATCAACATATTTTGGAAACGGATTTGTAGCTACAAGAACACCTGATTGCTAATATAAAGAACTATTACGGCCACTATCTCCAAATGAACGGCCATGTTAAAGCACATAATACTAGTAAAAGATATATCTTTATTTTATGTGGTTCACAGTTCTTGATGTATAGTGCATATAGTGGTCTGGTGAAATCTACTGCAGTCACAGTGAACCTCCCGTCTGTCTTTTGGTAACGACGAAGGGTCTGGTATAAACCTCACAAGTAACACTGTCATGGACCAAATTATATAGACACGAAATTGATTCTTGATCTACGTTCTATCGCAGTCACAGTAATATACAGATATTAGTTTTAAGGGTTTCATTATACTTGCACTTAAAATTAGTTGACTCTTGTTCCTATTACGAAGTCAGTATAATGCTTGCGATCACATTTTCTACATCTAAATTGTGAACTGGATTCCGAAACTTTATGATTCGAAAGCATTTGATACATACCGTGGGTTCATTTATTTTCGTGTGTACCAATTTTCGTGGATATAGGAAAACTAACATATTTGTGGATATCAAATTTTCTTGGTTTTGCCGAAGTCTGCATAGAAGCCTATAGAAAATGTGACCTACGTTGCACATTTAATTTCGTGGTTCACCTTGTATCCACGAAATCCACGAAAATTTGTATCCAACGAATAATAATGAATCAACAGTACCTATTTCTGTTCAATTATAGTTAAGAGTCTCTCATTGTGTACAAAATTGATACAAACAGGTTTTTAAATCACTAAACACTATTCCATCTGTTTTTGTCAAAGGAAGGAACGCAAAATGTCGCTAGGGCAGTAATATTGTGCATTTGAAATCAGGAAACTGATACCTAATATTAATATCCTAATTTATGCTGAATTATAAATTATTTTATTCCAGTATCCAAAAATTCAGAATCGGGATCAAATAACATACCCCCTCTTTTAATTAAAGAACGTGGAGGATCCCCTATAAAAAAAAGGAATTTTTTGTCATTTAATAGAATAAACGGTATATATTGCAGCCTAAAAAATGGAGGAAAATACTGTTTCTGTCTAAATGTTCAAGATAGAAAGTTGTATAATAAAACCAAAGTGCCAACAACACACGAATTTAGATGTTGAAGTACTTTGAATATTGCATTTTAATCAAGGGAGATCAGGGAAGATAATGACCTGACATAAGTCATTATTTATTGCCTTGAAGCACATTTCATATAAAGTTGATATCGTCCAGATAGTTTCTTCAAAAGAATGACATGTCGTTCTTAAAGGAAATAACTCCATATAGGTAAATAAGAAGAAAGCTCACCCCATTGTATTCCGTAAACACTATATTATTTCAACAGTAGTCAAGTTACAACATTATGCATATTCATACATGTACACTTACATTTTGACAAATACAACCAGTTAGTGTGCATTTAATTTAAAAAGAACCAGTCAACTGAATAGTTGTTATTAAAAACGTCAGAGCAAAGTACTTATTGAAAGGAATGAATGAATATGGATATACAATTATGACGATCGAGGTTACATAATTAATTAAAAATTTGATGCAAATGGGGACTGAATATAAACTTTTGTAAGGTAAGCTACGGACTAATTGAAGAAGAGTTGTTGGTAAGTCTGGGTGTGTGTTTGTGTAAGAGAAGGATACAGATCATATCAAACTAAGTAAGACATCAAGTGACTCTATTGACGTGACCAGCCGTCACATTTACTTAATAAGTCCCTTAGAGACTGTACATGCCCTTAAAACATCGATTTAGAAATTATAATTTGCCTCTTGTCGGGATTTTTCAAAATGGCGGATGTGCAATTTAGGATGTTTATATTTCAGTTTAATGTGCCGTTTTCATTATTTAAATGGAAAAACATGCATTTTTCTTACCATGTTTATTCTTATAGTGGCTGTTTATATACGAAACAGACGTCTGGCGTACAAAGTGCAATCTTGGTATCTATGATAAGTTTATTCGATGCAAAATTACATACATACATATTATAACATCTGTGTTAAAATGCACAAGGTAATGACAGCCGATAAGCCTGACAAATTATAACTTGTATGCCAGTTTACAAACAGGTGAATGAAAATTTACACTACACAATTATTCATGTATACACAGGGAACATCCCAAATTAAATTACCAATATTGTATAAAACAAACATGTACAAATTTATTTCCACAGTTTTATACAAATGCAAGTTGAACATATTTTGCCGCAGAATAATTCTTTCAAATATCAAATTGACTGTACTATCAAAACTATACTTAATTAAATATTATTGTTTAAAAAAAGGACGAAAAAAGTTATCCATAAACATATGTTTTCATAGATATATCAATGATAAATAACATCAATTTTTTCTTTAAGTAAATTAAAAGATATAGTACCTTTTTGTCCCTTGAGCTAAGAAATCGTATTATGATACATTTACCACTCTATCCTTCAGATATTCATAGAAAATACTCTGTCGAATAGCAGTATTTATATTTTTTTCAGTCTTATATAATGTGTAGGAAAATATTATTTTGGGTTAAAGGTTGCATTTCTGTAAATATAGACAATGCAATTTCCCATAGGAACTCCCTTTACGGCTAAAACTGTGACACTTTTACTATGAAGTTTCGTGAAAAATTATATCCTAGAATGGAAAGTTGATATGCAATATTATTTTATTCAAAACATAGGGTTGTGCGGCATATTTTCAACATTTATATGCCCTGAACTTCTAATAGTTTAAACTTATACTTAAGTTCTGTACTACCCTACCTTCACTTTAGGTGACCCTCAGAATTCAAAATTCCCTGCAACCATGTGTAAATATACTAGTAACATTCCCAAGTTACGTGTCTATGAGATGAACCATAGAGATCAAATCTGGGAACCAGTGCGTAAACAAAAAAAAAATCTATGAATATTATCTATCTCCCCAAAAGAGGCGTGGTTTGTGAAACAGCTGTATTTACAAAGTGCAACCCATAGTACCAATCTTGTATAACAACTCCAGTTTCCATTGCACGTCAAAACATGGAGTGAAATAAAAAAAAGTCCATTTTTTCTGATTTTGTTTTCTGGACTCCTTTTTTTTCTGTTTGATTAAAAGTTTATGCTGAATTAAAACATACATTTAGATTTGAAAATAATATTGCATCTTTTGTGGGATATCAAACCAGGAAAGTGGAAGGATATCATGTTTACTGGAAGTGGTGCGGCCTAGTAAAAACAGCAAACAGAACGTAGAAAAAAAGTTTTGACCTAAGATTTTTATTCTTCGTTGCAGGAGGCACTTGTTTTCTCCATTAAATCACACTTTCACATTACTACATGCATGATATGTACATGAACAAAATTCTATGTTGCATTTCATTTAAAAAAAAATCCGAAGATCGGCTGTTTTGCATGTAAGCTTACCGATCAGACAATTACAAGAATGCAACCTTAAGCTTTTGCTCATACATATTTGGACTAAAACTATGCGTGCAATGGCCATTTAAGGGCAAACATTACGACATCTTTATGACGTCATAGTGACATAACAAGCGACCCATCTGCACTATTAACCTATTCATTTATCATTCAGACCAAGATAGTTTAAAAAGTTTTGATTAAAGTGACCTTTTTCAGCAATGTGAGGGACCATATTTTCTGTGTGGCTCTTATCATACCTTTATAGTGGCTCTAATCATACCTTCTCCTTTGTAATATGAATAAACACAGTACACCCGAGAGTGTAATGGTGTGTGGGCGTGTTTTTCAATGTATTATACATGCTTTGTCTTGCAAGCTGTACATTTTCTATTTAAACTATAAATTACGCTAAGATCTCCTGCATGTCGTATGAGGGGTTTAAAACTTTATATTTGTAAAACATATATATAGATATATATAATTGTTGCTATTATTAGATACTTTATATAATATAATGTTCTCCCTGTTTCTATCAACGTGTTCAACTCGTCCTAGAATTACATATCACGGCTTTGTTACGTCAAATACGTTGACCCAGCCTAAATAATTTTGACCCGACCTTAATAACTTTGACCCGGACATATCATCGACGTCATGATGAATAAACCGACGTTTGCTTCGAACTCATAAAAACCCAATTGTTTCCATCATGTAAAATACACAAATATAATCCAATAAATCGATTATCAGATTTTCAACATATTCATATTGTAAAATATCAGATGGTCGACACAATATGAACCATTTTGAATTCGTTCGACATGTTCACTTGACAAAACCTTTATCTTTTTAACTCGATGCAAATATTTTACAATATCAATATGCAGACAACCTGATAACCTGTACGTATCAGATTATAAGTATATGTAGAACATAAAAAATGAAAACAACACGTTATAAACTTCATGGGTCCGAAAAGTTTTTCTTGATTTACCTATACCATGAATACTTAAAGTAGAACATTTAAAAGTCGAGGATGTATAAAAATATTTGAAAAGCTATATGACCAAAAAGTACTACAAAAACAACCAAATTCATTTTAGGTCAACTTTGCCTGAAGGAGTTGAAACCTTAGTTTCATGTTATTTTCAAAATTTTAGAAATGTTTGTTATAAACCATGTTATGTCACCGCAGTACTGTATACTGAGCTGATAATACGCTCGAGGACTGATAGTCCACCAGCAGAGGTATCAACTCAGTACTGTAAAACATGAAAAACATCACGTTATTAATTTCATGTGTCCAAAGCGTTTTTCTGGATTTACCTTCATCAGGAACGCTCAAAGCCAAATATAAGAAAGTCGAATATGCTATAAATCATGTCATTACCCGCAGCACTGACTACTTAGTATACATATATATATATATATATATATATATATATATATATATATATATATATATATATATAATAAGTACGTCTGAACCAGTGACGACTCTACAACAGATTTTATCCATCGGATCACCAGCAGTGATGGTGATACAAGGCTGAAAATACATTATGTATACTAAATATATAATTCGTCTAAACAACAGCTCAACAATGTTAGATCTGTAAATTTGCGGAGGCAAATTTTTTGTTTCATCCCTGGCCTGGATTCGAACTCATGCTACTGAGATATCGTGGCACCAAATCGCCTTGCACTATGCCCGACTATAGAGCCTAGATGGTCGAGTGGTCTAGCGCATATATATATATATATATATATACGTCTAAAAAAGTGTACAACAACACCAAAACAATGATAAAAAAAATATGAAACAAAAAATACAAAATTCAATAAATATTTCGGATAACAAATATCTTTCATCAGTTTGAGCAGCCTGGTATAAAATGGCGTCACTAGCTATGATAATTTTCAAAAATCTTGACCATCATACAAATTAAACACCGAACAACGTTTGTAGAAATTTAAAGTTACAATTCAATGATCTTGAAATCATCCAAATTAATTAAAAACAAAAGATGGAAAGTTTAGAGTTTTATTATTCTATAATCTTGTGAACTAGATATAAATTAAGTATTTACAACCGGCGGGAGTGCGAAGTTATATACTAAGTATTTCAAAATGAATTAACACATCTAGTACTGCTTGATTTTAACTACCTCTTTTCGTTGATCCCATTTGGTGCTAACGTTCAACTTTCGTGTCCAAAATCTTTCCCGAGTGACTCGCTCCTCTCTGGACCATGAAGTGTTGTGGTCAATGATAATGATAGTCAGTCGGTTCAGATCTGCCTTAGAGTGACCAGCCTTTATCGATGTATTTTCGTTTGTAGCCCATTTTTGTTAGGTAGCCGCGAAGTTCTTGTAATCGCTTTGTCACAGTATTATTGGTGGAGCAAATCCGCTTTATCCTAATGACCTGACTGTAAGGAATGCTCCTGGTACAGTGTTTAAACAGGGGCTACAAAAGAAAATACATCGATAAAGGCTTCTCTCGTGCTAACAACATCAGCCGAGGCGAATTTTTACAGTATAAAGAGAACAAAAGTCAACAAAAGAGTTCCGTTTGTGTTGACTAATCATCCTCAATTTGATAAATTGTCACACCTTATCCGCGAAAACTGGAAAGATATCGAAAAAAATCCTAAATTTTCCAAGATCTTTCCCGAGCCACCCGTACTGGCTTTCCGTAGGCCTAAAAGCCTTAAAGATGTGTTGGTGAGAGCTTATTTATCATCCAAACCAGGCTCTTCGTCAGCAGGCTCTTGTAAGGGTTGTGGGAACAAACGATGTCTGACTAGCAAGCAAATACTGCACACCCAGACTTTCAAAAGTCACTCGACTGATACGACATACACCATATTTTGCAATGTTAATTGTAAAAGTACAAAATCTGTGTATCTTCTTCAGTGTAAATGTGGCAAACAGTATATTGGCAAGTCAGAACAACCATTTCACAAACGTATGAATGGCCATCGTAGTGACTATATAGATATAGGAAGATGTGGTATGAGTGCCAATGAGACAACTCTCCATACAAGTTACAATTTATAAAAGTAAACCATTATAGGTCAAGGTACGGCCTTCAACACGGAGCATTGGCTCACACCGAACAGCAAGCTATAAAGGGCCTCAAAAAATTACTAGTGTAAAACCATTCAAACGGAAAAACCAACGGTCTAATCTTTATAAAAATGAGAAACGAGAAACACGTATGAACCACATAAACAGACGACAACTACTGTAATCAGATTCCTGACTTAGGACAGGTGCAAACATTTGCAGCGGGATTAAACGTTTTAATGGTACCAAACCTTCTCCCTTTTCTGAAACACTGTAAGCCAGACCTCCCTCTCAGTCGACATTTGAGATCCCCTGATCACTCTAAGGCAGATCTGAACCGACTGACTATCACTATCATTGACCACAACACTTCATGGTCCAGAGAGGAGAGAGTCACTCGGGAAAGATTTTGGATACGAAAGTTGAACGTTAGCACCAAATGGGATCAACGAAAAGAGGTAGTTAAAATCAAGCAGTACTAGATGTGTTAATTCATTTTGAAATATATAACTACGCACTCCCGCCGGTTGTAAATATTTAATTTATATCTAGTTCACAAGATTATAGAATACTAAAACTATAAACTTTCCATCTTTTGTTTTTAATTAATTTGGATGATTTCAAGATTATTGAATTGTAACTTTAAATTTCTACAAACGTTGTTCGGCGTTTAATTTGCATGATGGTCAAGATTTTTGAAAATTATCATAGCTAGTGACGCCATTTTACACCAAGCTGCTCAAACTGATGAAGGATATTTGTTATCCGAAATATTTATTGAATTTTGTATTTTTCGCTTCATATTTTTTTTATCATTGTTTTGGTGTTGTTGTACACTTTTTTAGACGTATATTTTATTTATTTACTGTGTACAGTATCGTTCTCCATAACGACCCGACACCCTCGTAAGAATGATTGTTGACTACTATCAAGACGTTTTACATATATATATATACATATATACAAGTCTAAATTGAAAACAACGTTCAAACCTATGATTGCGTTGGATAAAAACCGCAATTTTTATACGTGTGCATGCAAAACAAATTTCTTGTTAGAGGGGTCTTAATACAGCACAAACAACATTTTCCAAAAGACCAAAAAAGTGAAAAAGTATATTTTAACAAAACGCATTTGACTAACAGGTCGAACAACAAATGTTCTTAAACCCTGCGGACTGCCATTGGCGATTGCCAAATATATATATAATCTTCTTATTTGAGCAGTTCCGTTTTTGCTTTTATAAAGATGTTTAATAATTTATTCAATTGAGTGAAAAAAGTAAAAATGAGAATGAATTCAATTATTTTGTTTTTATGACTGACAAATTAATTTCGGTCCAATACCAATCAAATTCAAACAAATAGTTCTCTAAAATAGCATCTTCAAAATAGTTAATTTGTGTTTACTGATAACTTACTTGCAACGTATGACAGACATGTTTCAACATACATTTGATATTCTTTTGTGCTCTTCTTCTCGGCAATTTTATTTCTTTACTCCTAGATGGCACAATTTGGAGAGGAAAATAATTGTTTAAAAGAAAAAAAAGAAGCTAATATCACCGTACAATTTCATTTTTTGTAACAAAAATTATGTCGTCTCACTTATCTCTATATTGACGCACGCATCTATACAATTGGACCTACAAGAGCCAATTATAAAAGACTTCAAACTAGTAAACATGGTAAAGACATCTTCATCACTTAAAACATGTTGTTCAATTATTTCGTCGTTAACAGCAAATTTTTAACAAAGAAAAAGTGGATAGAATGTGAAAAGTTTTTAAATTTTCAACCTGACATTAATAAGAGACTAATCAGATGCACCGGTAATAGCAGAGTAAAAATGTAGTTCATATGCCAGCTTTTCGTATATATTTGTATCTTCCATTTTGTGTTTTGAAATGCACTCTTAAAGAAATTCCATTTTTCAGAACCCCTCCAGTAAGCATTTGGACACTATTTTTTTTATCAAAATATAGCATTTGTTTTTTTTTATTTATACATGGTTCCCAACTTTTATTGGTAAAAGGGATATAATATAACGACATTTTTACATACCTAATAACAAAAAAATCTGATTTCTCAAAAGAACCCAAAATGTAATAAAACGCATATTTAGGGAACCGAACTTAAACGAAGAAACATTCTCCTTTTGCTTACACGTATAGTCACTATTCTTTATAGTTGATTCTTCCTTTTTATCCTATCACTCTTACTGTTTCCGAAATTCATAACTTGTAAGGATAAATATTGATTTGAAGATTTTGTTTTTCTGCCCTGTAAGTTCAAAACCTGATTCAATTCTTTTTGAATTCCTGCACATAATGCTATACTGCTGCAAGTTGGGTGATGGTAAGATGATAGTGCAAATCATGTGTTGCGCATACTTAGTAACACTCATTACCATTTTTATAAGTTATTTCGAATTTATTCAATACCAGAGGAGACAAATCTGAATTAAAAAAAAAGTTTTTCATGTGATTATTTAAATTTAATACTGAAGACAAAGAATACCGTTTCCAAATAAAGTATGGTATCAACTGTGAATATCTATCGTTACTTTTGTATAATAAAAAAAAATATTGCGCTAGATGAACGTTTCTGATGTTGCACACAATAAAAAGGCTAAAAACGACGGCATTGGACGTTGCTGCATAAAAAAAACCTCATCGTAGATACAAGGTTTTTTTTTAAAGTTTTGCACGCCAGACGCGCGTTTCAAAATTATTTTTTCAATTGTTATTTTTTTATTGCTATCATTCAAAATTTCCCAAACAATAAGATTTTCGATTATTTTTTGTTTGTTTGCATGATGTCACAGTTTCTTTGATACGTACTATCACATTAAAACCTGTCGTGTCACGTTGCGAACTCCTTCAAAAAACTCTTTGAAGGGTCCGTAGGTGTCCTGTTGCAACGCAAACTTTCTGTCTCTATCCAATTTATTCTCATTTTCCTGTGGCAGTTTAAACTTCCAAACCTTTATCCAGTACGACCGTTATTACAGGAACTATCTTTTGTATTTACCGTTAATTTGTTCTCGTCCTGAACATCCATGAAATATTTTCCACTGGACGTTACGCAATCAAAAACCAATAGTAAATAGTAATAGAAGAGCGTTCCATACTGGAAAGATTTCTTCAATTATTATTATAAAATAAACTTTTTTTGAATGAATATTAAATCAATCATTGTTGTTTTATTGATAACATTTGCAAAAGACCTAACGTCACAGTACCCAAATTGCAATATGTACCCAAATTGTACCCATTTAGCAAAAATAGCAGCGGAAGTCTTACAAGTTTTCTTAGATAATTAACAATTTGTATTTTTATAATTTGACATTATGCACGGCTTTCAACATAGCTAAATACATTTAAATATACACAAAACGTTCACAGTGTATATCAACAGATGAAGTATTTGCTCCAAAAAGTAAAATCTTCGGAAACGTCGCCATGCGACGTCCACAAAAAAGTCAACTTTTAAAAATAAGAAATTAAAATATGTAACAGGCTTCCATTTCTTAAAAATAGAATAGTAGACACGGACTATTGTAAAATTGTTCTCAATATTTGAAGATATAAAACAAAACATCAGCTATTCGATTTTAACGGACGTGAATTTAAGCATGGATGGAAGTCGGTTCAAACTCATTTTTCTATGAATAAATATGGATTCAAAATTAAATTGTTGGGACTATATAGTAAATAAGGATACATCTACAAAATAAACACAGAACAGAAAAATTTGTCTGGATTATAAAAAAAACATAGGTGAAAAAACTGTCAAAATAGGTGCAATTTGGTTACCCTCACGTTAAAGCTTTGCAGACGAAAAATATAATGACGCATGAGAAAACAATTTTCGTACTCACTCTTTTTTTTTAATTCTGAAAACACACATCGGCCTGTTATTTTAAATCTCTGTGTTTATGTAATAAGTCTGCTTTTTACGTAAATTTCATTCTATTCCAGTGCCTTACATCAATATTTGTGCAACATTACACCAAAGAATGGAAGAGTTATTAAAAGCGTTTCATATCATGGGTGAGGAAGTTCGACAAGGCCATGATCCAGCTTGTGTGTACAAAAGTGATCTGTTTAATTTTTCAAATTCTACAGTATCCGCCTTTCCGAACTCTCCTACCGCTATGAAATACAAGACAGCTTTCAGTATGTTTCGTAAAGCAAAGTCAGTGCTATGTCGATATGCAAAATCAAAGATTGAAACAGACAATGACTGTGATTTCTTGGAACCAGCTTTCCATGGCTATGCTAAGGCAGAGATGTGTGAAAACCATTTGTATGATACAAATAGGCCCCCTGAAAACACATATGACCTCATTGGTCAATACCTTAAACAGAGACCGGATGACATACTATCGGAATATTTTAAAAATATTTTAGAACAAAACAGGAATGAATTACTTGTATCCAAATTTGAAAGTTTACAAATGTCCATTCGCACAAAGGAAATACTTGCGGCAAAAGTAAGAAGAGCCAGTGCTCACTCCGATATAAAACGTCAAATTCTTGCTACTTTGTATAATAGATTAGGTTCGTTATACACTATCACACAGCAAAGAATTCGTGCAATCGATTCTTTCCAAAAATCATATGATATTGACAATGATCAACATGATTCTCTTTTTGGCATTGCATATAGTGACCGTTATAAGCATCCAGAAAAGGCTTTACAATTGATTAATAAGTACTTAGATGCTGCACCAGAATGTCATAAGAAGTATTATGATGCATATTATACCCTAGCAGAGATTTATATCTTTTTTTATAGAAACAAAGCAAAAGCTGAAGAATATTACCGCAAGGGGTTAAAAGCTGAAGATAAACAGTTGCCGTTTATAATGCATGAAGACACAACTTCTAAACGTTTAGCAAAGCAGTTAATCGAGCTTCCATATATAACCGATGAGTTAGTAGAGCTCCTTTACAGTGCAATATGATTTAGAAAAAAAAAGTAACGAACGTGTGTGCTTTCTGTCCCGTTTATAAAATTAAAATTGTAAAGTAGAATACTAGAATATAAATCGTTTTTTCCATGACTGTAATAAAAATACCACTGTATATATTGTCAAGGATACACAACCAGTATAACATGTCTCTTAGGAAGCACTTGCCTCTTAGATCTAGCCTCATACATTTACAGATGTATTTTCTATATTTGGAAGACGTGTTTATTCAGCATACAATCGGTGTTCCTTGGGGAATCAACTATCATGCTATGATCCGTTGTTGTAGATGTAATACAGGAGCTCCTCGTTTCGCTATATCTATGATGTTTTCTCACTTTATAATTTAAATTTTGGTTAAAAGGTTTTACGCGTTTTTCTGTCGAACTTGAAATAAAGAATACAGTTAAGTCTTCATTATATCTTGCCTCGAATCTTTAATTTGACAATAAGGGTAAGTTACGAACAGACGACAGAAGAGAGTTTCCAGCTTTCTAATTGTGAAATTTGTTCTAACCATTAGTTTTATGATGGATGTAGAGCTGTACCTGCTACCTTTCGGAGCATCAAACCTGTTTTTGTAGGATCGTGTTGCTCCGTAGTTCATATGTTACACTAACTTTTAAGGTTTCATAAGTGGCAAGGCACTTTCAATCTGTATCCAATATACCCCGTTTTCAAGTGGCAGTTTTAATTTCCCGACCTTTATCCCGGACGACCTTTATTACTGGAACTACATATTGTATTTATTGTTTGTAATTTGTTCTCGTCCAGAACATGCATGTTTTTCTTCTAGTCACAGAACTGCGGTTCAACATTTATTTGCAACTAATGACGTCTAATGACAACTAAATCTAATAATTCTATTAAGAAGTTAGTATCCGAGATATAACCAAAAAGAATTTTAGCCACTTGGCTAACAGTGTAGGTGACAATAAGCCAACAAAACCCGAAGGACATTTAAACCTGGTAAATTGTATTAGAAGAAGGTTCCATATCAAAAATATTTCTGCTATTATTATAATAAAATAAACTGTTTCTATACTCTTTTTTTGTATAAAGATAAGGAGATGTCGTATGATTGCCAATGAGACAACCACCCACCGAAGTTCAAATGAATTGGATGTAAGCAGTTAAAGGCAACCATACGGCCTTCAAAAATGAAAAAAATCCATATCGTATAGTAGGTTATAAAAGATCCTGACATAAAAAATAAGAAACTATTCAATTGATAAAAACTAAAGGCCTAACTTATAACAAAATAATTTACGAAAAACAATATGACAGACACGAACCAACGACAACCACTAAACTACAGAATCCTGTCTTGGAACAGGCACATGAAAAATGTGGCGGCGTTAACAATGTTTGTGCGTGCTCAACCCTCCCTCTAACCTAGGACAGTGGTGTAACAGTACAGCATAAGAACAAACTATAAAAATCAGTTTTGAAACAGCATATCTGGTATCTTTCGCCCCTCTTTTACAGATCAGCCTGTTACTTTAAATCCATGTGGCTATGTTATTAGTCTGCTTGATACTTAAATTGCATTTTATTTCAGTGCCTGACATCAATATGTGTGCAATATAACACTACAAAATGGAAGAGTTATTACAAGTGTTAGATTCAATGGATGATGAAGTTCGACGAGGCCATGATCCAGCTGGTGTGTACAATAGTGTTCATTTTGCTTTCACCAAATCTACCTTATCTGCCTTTCCAAACTCTCCTAGCGCTATGAAATACAAGACTGCTTTTGATATGTTTTCTAAAGCACAGTCAATACTATGCCGCTATTCAAAAGCAAAGGTTGAAACAGACATTGACTGTGATTTCTTGGAACCAACTTTCCATGGCTATGCTAGGGCAGAGATGTGCGAAAATCATTTGTATGATACCAACAAGCCTCCTATTAATACATACGACCTTGTAGGTCAGTACCTTAAACAGAGACCGGATGATATATTAGCGGAATATTTTTAAAATAATTTAGAACATAAGAGGAATGAATTACTAGTATCAAAATTTAAATGTTTACAAATGTCCATTCTTACAAAGGAAATACTTGCTGCAAAAGTAAACAAAGCCTGTACTAACTCCGATATAAAACGTCAAATTCTTGCTACTTTGTATAATAGATTAGGTTCGTTATATATTATCATACGCCAGACAATTCGTGCAGTCGATTCATTCAAAAATCATATGATATTGACAACAATTATTATGATTCCCTTTATAACATTGCACATCGTGACCAGTCTGACCATCCAGATAAGGCTTTAAAATTGTTTCATAAGTATTTAAGTGCTGTACCAGAATGTGATAAGAAGTATTGTGACGCATATTATGCCATGGCAGATATTTATATTTCTTCTTTTAGAAATATAGCAAAAGCTAAGGAATGTTACCAGAAGGGGTTAAATTCTGAAGATAAACAATTGCCGTTTATAATCCGTGATGAGACGGAATCTAAACGTTGTGCACAGTTCTTAATCGAACATTTTGTATGACTGTGATAAATTAACAGCATGTACAGTGCAAGATATTTTAGGAAAAAAGTAACGAACGTTTAAACTAAATCCACATGTATATATACGTTATAAAGATGAGTATGAAATGTACACATCTCTATTTAAGTCAATTTAAGTGTTTCCAATTGCAGGAGGTCAGTTTGCTTCTGTATTTTTAGCTCTGTTTTCTGTTCAATAACTACACTTATGCTACTTCCGGTGTTATATGGGTATTCAGTGATATAGCATCGGGTTCCTTTCAATGCTTGTCTACACCATGTTCATAAATCTGTACGTTCTTTGCAGTCACTACGATGTCTAGTAGGCTATTCTAAACTTCCATTACTCGGTTAGTAAAGTAGTATTTCTTTATGTCTGGTCTGCTTTTGTTTTTTAACCAACTTCATCGAGTTGCCTCTTGTTGTCGAGCGTGTCTTACGCGTGAATGAGCCTTCTGTTGTTTATCTTGAAAGTCTCTGTCATGTCGCCTCTAAGCCATCGAAATTTCAATGTAAGAATTTTCAGAGTTTTCAATCGATCGTTCTTCGTATGACAGATCTGTGAGATTAGGTAACATTTTTATTGCTCCATTTTGCATTGTTGGACGTTTTCAATTGTCTCGATATCTTTCTTTTTATATGGGTTCCACATTCACACACTACTAGCATATTCAAGATGAGGACGGGCTAATGCCTTAAATAGTAGACAGAAGATTTTATAATCTAAACACTAAAATGTTCATCTGATAATTCGATTTAGCTGGTTTGCTTTGTTGACTTGTGTCTGTATATGATTGTCAAATTTCAGTTTGAAATATATAGTCACCGTCAAAACTATCCTAATTGAACTGTTTCTAACGTAACTTCAGATCCATTATATGTAGACAATTTATATTTTCTCTTTTGCCGAGAAGTGGATTTAGTAGAAATTGGTAATACTTTGCATGTGTCCGGTGGAAACGTAATAGCCATTTGTCACTCCACTTCATAATATTATTCATGCCATTTTGCATTATGGTGTTGTAAATACTGCTGATTATATATCTTTATAATTTTGTGTCGTCTGCAAACATGAAGACATCTTACATGTACATTCATTATCATATTATTTTAATTTTGTTTGAGAATTTCATTTAGAACCTCTGTTAATAAAACTGTGCGGTAAAGTTATATATGTATATGCATTTGTTGCAATTGTTAAATAAATATGTTATAGGGATTTCATGCTTTAGAGGCAGTGAAATGTAATGCTTAACACTGGTATGTAACAAACCATGGCCACTGGTTATGGTTAGGGGCATCCTTATGGCAATGTTTATCAAAAATGGAAATATCAAGATCCTCTCTATAAAATTCTTCCCATTCATTACTCATCATCTGACAATGTATTTGAATGTACAAGTAAATCAAAAATATAAACGGCTTTATATACATAGACTGAGAGTTGAATATAGCAAAATCATTTCTGTATGAGTTGTACTTCCTCCCATATGACTGTACATGGAAGATTTATAATGCTAAATTGAACAAGTTAATGTCAAAATTGCGTGTTTTCTTTGAAAACACGTTTTTCTGAACAAGGGTTTTTCATTTTATTCTAGTTCTTCCTTAATTGGCCTCACATAGAGATTGCAAACCATGTCAGTTGCGTTGTTTCGTTTTATCTCATATCCGAAATAGGTGTTTTGAAAAAAAAAGTGTTGATCAATCATTTATAACTTGGGCGATATAGAGCTTGATACATGACATGGACACTTGTTAATCATTGACTACACTACAGCCATCCCTGCAATGCTTTTTTCATAAGAGATATTAAATTTTCAATAGTAAATATAAAATGCAGTCCTTATTGTTAAATAAAATCACATTTCCCCAACTGTTGAAAGCTCTATAAACTGATATAAGTTTTTTGTCACTTTTGCAAAGAACTGTGAAATAGCTTTATAGCACGTATATATAAACTTAACAATTAACAATTATTGTCAATTCCAAGAGCATCAGGATGTATTTTGGGTGTTGCAACTACCAAGTATATGTCAACTTAAAATCAAAATTCCATTTATGTATCTGATAAATAAAGGCAACAGTAGTATACCGCTGTTCAAAAGTCATAAATCGATTAAGAGAAGACAAATCCGGGTTACAAACTAAAACCGAGGGCAACATATCAACTTTAAGAGGAAAACAACGGAACAACAGAAACACTAAACTGCAACAAAAAAAAACAAAAAAACGCCAACATACATAGAAACGGACTATTTGATAACAACTGCCATATTCCTGAAAAAAAACATAAATGGGTTTGGTGAATTAGTGATAAGTTTTTCAGATGGAATATGTATTACAGTAACATACATATTTGTAATGAAGAAATGGCAATCAAATCAAATTGACATGAATTCAATATCTCTCATTAAATACATGTACATGTAATTGAACAACCTACATCAAATGTAAACATAGAAGGGATTTCTTATCATAAGTAGGGAATTATATAAATGAGTAAAGACTGTACAAAATTTGAAGAATTGCCTGAAGGAGGAAATGAAATGAATACTAAAACTGATATTAAGATGTGATATTATCTTCATTATCATCGAATTTATGCTTAAATGAGCAACACGACGGGTCCAACATGTGGAACAGGATCTACTTACCCTTCCGGAGCATATGTGATCATCCCCGGTTATATATGGGGTTCGTATTGCTCAATCTTGAGATTTTAATGTTGTTTTTTGTAGACTGTTGTCTGTCTTTTCGTCTTTTTTTGCCGTGATGTTTTAAGTTTGTCTTCGGCTAAATCTGAGTTTAAATATCCTTAGTGCGTCATAATTTTCTTTTCATTCTTGGGAAATTTCATCTTTAGGGAATAAAAAGACCTGCCTCTGCTCAAATGGCTTCATTCT